AGCGTCAGCATACAGAGAATGCTAGGCGGAACTAATCGGATCCATGTCTAAGTCAAAAACAGGCACACCGTGGCGCAACAGGCTGGGCCAGTCAGGGAAGTCCGGAGCAGGGCCGCAGCGGCGACGAAAGAGGTCGTCGAGGCGGCGGAAGCATCAGGCAGTCGTGTGCGGGCGGTGACACACAGTGCCACGGAGGGGCCCGGTTCGGAGCTGGTACTGGCAGCCGGCTGCACCGAAACTGCCGGTAGACGCCGAGCTGCGAGGACCGCCACCTCGGCCACCACCTCCAGGGGCTCCCGGCCACCCTGGGGGGAGGCGGGCCCACGGCTGCTGCTGCTTTTGCTACTACTGCGGTGGCTGCTACTGCAACTTCTGCGGTTGCTATAGCTCCTGGACACCTGCCCCAACCCCCTCGTCAGAACCACTGTCGCTGCCACCACCCCCACCACGCCCTCCCTTAGGGCCACGACGGCCCCGACGCTGGTGCTACTGCTGCAGGAAGGCCGCCGCTGCGGTCTCAGGAGTAGGAGTAGCCGTAGCGACCGCATCGGAGACGTCCGCGTACGTGCACTGGGAGGGAGCATAGCCCTGAAAGATAAAGACTGCCGCAACACCGCTCGACTGAGCGATAGTGCGCTGGCGAGTCTCTATAGAGGAAAGGGCAGCGACAAAGGCGGTCAGGGTGAAGTCATCTGGGTGCTGGCTAAGGAAGTGGTCGCGGGCAGTGGCTAGACGGTCAAAGAGGTGCATGGCAATAAGGTACAACGTAGCGCAGAACGGTGGGGGGAAGGCAGTGAGCTGGGCAGTAGTGCTAGCGGCACGGTAGCTAGTCTCTAGTGCACGGAGGTGAGTGGCAAGATCAGCAACAGTGGGGAAAGCAGAGAGATCGGGGAAGAGCATGGGGAGGATCATGCGGCCAACTGAGGCGGAGGCAGGCGTGGAGTAGCAGTCAACAACAGCATCTAGCGTAATCCTGCCGTAATCCCTTAAAGCCAATAGTCTCGCGTGGCTATACGCAGGGTGATTCTATATTCTAGAAGGGTCTATTCCCTTTGGACAGAATAAACCTAATTACCTGATGTACTTTGGAAGTATAAAAGCGCCTTGTATCAATTGATAGTGCAACCTTTTCTCGACACATTCGATCATGTGACACTTGGTAATCAGTGCTTTTCTCAATCGGTCGCGCTCAGCTAAGCACCAGCAGCGGGACTCCTGCCTCGAAAAACCGCCAGGGGCGACCAATTCGACGCCGATTCTGGTAAGCACCAGCTTCGCGTTTTTTCGAATTACCCCCTCCGCGCCTGTTTTGAACAGGATGGCGAACTTCGAAAACGCAGAAGTTACCCAGCAGCTCTTCGCAAGCATCACCGCCCTACAGGAGGAGATGCGACCCGACCGCGAAGCTTGGCGACAAGAGTTTGAGCGAGTAACTCGACTCTCCGGCGCGCAACATGAAACGACAACGGCGACGACGCAGCAGTCGCAACAATTTCTCGAGGCTCCGAAACCGCGCCCACCTGAGCCGTTTGATCCGAGCGATCGAAATTCCGACATCCGCAGATGGATCGCCGGCATGGAGATCTACTTCGCAGCCGTCGAATGGAGCTCGCCAGTCTGGGACGGGCAACGCGTACGACTCGCAACGACACTGATGCGAGGGCCGGCACTCGAGTGGATCGGCCGTAACAACACCTTCATCCACGGCGAAGCCACGTGGCAGCAGTTCCGCACCGACCTGCTGAAACGTTTCGAGCCGATAAATTCGGGTTTCCTTGCCCTGGGAAAATATTCATCGCCATCGACAATTCGGGAGTGTAGCGCAGTACACGCAGCAGATGGAAGAATTTTATAACCGCATTCCCGACCTGACCGAAGGGGGAAAAAGTACAGTCGTACCTCGCCGGGCTGAAGACCGAAGTCAAACGACAAGTGGCGGCCACAAACTACGCGAGCTACAGTGACGTCGTATCAGACGCGGAACGCTTCGACATGGTCAACACTGGGACACGACGGACGCACGTCGGCAGTACGCGACAGGGCGACCGCTCGGCTCACCCCACGTTCGCCGACCCGATGGAAGTCGACAGGTTCGACGGGTGGCCACGTCCGAAAAACACCCAACTTCACGTGTGATTTCTGCGGGGTGCCGGGTCATCGAATCTTCGACTGCAACAAAATGAAAGCCGCATGCGCTGAGTATTGGGCACACAACAGTGGCGGAAATCCTTCGGCCAATGAGAAGCAAAAAAACGGGGCTCGCCAGTGATTGCGGATCCAGCTGGCGAAAAAGAAAAGATCCGAAAGCGGCCGCGGACTTCCGGAAAAATCAACTTCGACGCAGCTGATTCGACGCGAACAGGAGAAAATGATGGGGAAAAATCTCCACCCCACGACCAGTCATTGCCAGAGGAAATCGTCGAGAAAAAATCTAACTCCGCGAAAAAGGACTGTGCCAAGATGGGGAAACTCCTTGAAGACCCAATAAATTATAAGGATTCGTTAAATTTATCTTATAAAGATGCTTCAATGAAAACTTGTAATTCTCGAGGGGCTAGAGCCTTGGAGAAAATTCGGGAGGGACTTCAGAAGAAGCAGAAAAATGTGGAGATCGTACCGGTACCGGAGAACTTGGGGACCAAATTAAGGAGTGTGGAAAGAAGCCGACCTTTCCATGGAGTCAACGTCCTCTCCCGACTACCTGTTCCCCAGGGAAGACGTCGGTGGAGCTGAAGTAGCTCAAGAGGAAGCTGGGGGTCTACAAGAAGCTGAAAAAACCCCGAACTCCTTCTTCGGATGCATCCAACTCGGCAACTTCGTCAACGACACGAACAGTCGTCACGGAAACTCTGGGCCCTAGAGAAGAGCCATTCTCCAAGCAGCCTCGGCCAGCTGCCAGCTCAGGAGTAGGAAGCAACGAATATTGGGATGTACCCAATGACCCAATCAATGAAACTATCTTTGGGTACTCCGAGCAATGCCTGCCCCTCATGCTCGAGATCATCTGCAAAGGACGACGCCTCCAAGCACTCGTGGACAGCGGAGCATCGCACACCGTATGTGACAAGGCAACCATCGACCGACTTCGAGAAGAGTGCAAGCCATCAGCGTTTTCTGCAACGATGGTGGACGGCAGCAAGTTACCAGTGTACGGCGAAGCAGTGCTACACCTAGAAATCGGTCCACTGCGCTGGAAACCTGCTCTCCCCATCACCAACATAAAAGGGCTTGACTTGATCTTCGGACGAGACTTCGTCAAGAAATTCAACCCCGAGATCAACTGGGTAAACCGCACCGCAAGCATCTACAACAAATGAAGGAGAGTCCAGCTACCCAACTGGGACAATACAGGAGATATCCTAGTGGAGACACTCTCCAGATTCGAGAAGGACGTGAAACAAACCAAGACCGGGTTCCTGGCGTTAGCAAGATACATGGAAAGGGACGAGGAGAAGACCTCGGAACCTCCTAGAGAAATCAAGGAAATACTGAAGGAGTTCCAAGACATTCTTCCCGACGACCTCCCGGACGAGCTACCGCCATACCGAACTAGGTTCGTGGAGGAACCAGGTTCGAAACTGACCTTCCGAGCACCATATCGGCTAAGCCCCACAGAACTAGCCGACATGAAGAAACAGATTGAGTATCTCCTCGCCAAAGGACTCATCCGACCATCCACTTCGCCATACGGTGCCCAAGTACTCTTCACACTGAAACCGAACAGAAGCCTGCGCATGTGCATCGACTACCGAGCTCTCAACATGCAGACCATCAGGAACAAATACCCGATTCCATGAATCGATGACGTGCTTGACCAGCGTTAGGGAGCCACGGTATTTTCAAAACTGGATCTGCGGTCCGGATACTGGCAGATAAGAATGGCGGACAATTCCGTTCAGCAAACTGCCTTCCGAACCCGGTACGGATCGTACGAGTATCTGGTAATGCTGTTCAGACTCACCAACGCACCTGCAATGTTCCAAGCAGAAATGAATCATATCCTACGCCCACTCTTGAACGAATGCGTGGTGGTGTACCTGGACGACATCCTCATCTACTCGCGCGACATGCAACAACATGTCGAGCACCTACGACGCGTCTTTGAAAATCTTCGACGAGAACGATTCTACGTCAAACTATCCAAGAGCGACTTTGCCCTCGAGAAAGACCAATTCCTCTGACATATCGTAAGCGCTCAAGGAGTTCACGTCGACCCCAAGAAAATCGAAGCCGTGCGTACGTGGAAGACACCCGAGAATGTGAAGGAGTTACAGCAGTTCCTTGGCTTTGCTAACTACTACAACAGGTTTGTGCCACAATACGCGAAGATCGCCGCGCCACTCACGAATCTGCTAAAGAAGAACACGCCATATAAATGGGAGCTACAACACCAGGAAACCATGGAGCAGCTGAAACAAGCACTCACGTCCGCACCCGCACTCATCTTGCCGGACCCCGAACGCGACTACGTCATCGAAGCTGACGCCAGCGACCAGGCAGTGGGAGCAGTCTTGATGCAAGACCAGGGGAATAGCCTGCAACCAATTTACTACCTCAGCAAAAATTACACGGAGCAGAACTCAACTACCCGATACACAACAAAGAGGCCCTTGCTATCATCATCGCCTTCAAAACGTGGAGATGCTATCTCGAAGAACGCAAGACGACAGTCTACACCGACCATTGCAGCCTAAAATGTTTGAAGACGCAACCAAGCCTCTCCAGGCGGCAGGTCCGGTGGATTGACTTCCTCGAGACACACTTCCACTACGACATCGTGTACAAGACCGGCCACAAAAACAAAGAAGATGCGCTTAGCCGACCTGCACACGTTGCCGCCATCCAAGTTGAAGCGATGAATCCACTCCTCAAGGGACTCTTCACACACGGGTACACCATCGACCCCGAAATTCCCTTGGCAGAAAAGTGACATCTGCTACAGTGGGACAAACGACATCGCGTACCGGAAAGGATCAAGAAAAATCTGGGTACCAAATTACCCTCCAATGTTGGCACACACACCACAGCACAACTCTTTTGTGTGTCATCATCTCTTTGTTCGCTACATCATCTCACAACATGGCATTCCGACCACACTCATCTCCGACCGAGACCCTAAGTTCACCAGTAAATTCTGGAAAGAACTAGTGTCTCTGCTCGGGACCAAACTCGCAATGTCATCCGCCTACCATCCGCAGATAGATGGACAGACCGAGCGCCTCAACCAAATTGTGGAGCAACTCCTCCGCGCAGCCTGCAAGGACGACATCTTCAAATGGGACTTGCATCTGCCCGTCCTGGAGTTTGCCTACAACAATGCTACTCACGCTGCCACTGGAAAGACGTCGTTCTTCCTCTGTTACGGACGCCACCCACTCACACCTCAACAGCCAAACATACTAGCCACAGTCCAACCCGCTCATGATTTCATCACGACCATGCACAAACTTTGGGATTGGACCCACAAGCGCCTTCTCGACATTCAGCAGCAATAGAAGCGCCAGGCCGATCGCCACCGCACAGACCACACCATCACCGTGGGAGACCGAGTACTACTCGACACGCGCAATCTTGACATCGGCCATCTCCCATCCAAACTGCGACCTCGCTTCTGCGGGCCTTTTCTCGTTGAAGCACAGGTCACTCCTGTTACCTTCCGCTTACGCCTGCTAGCTACCTGGAAGATTCACAACGCTTTCCATGTCCAAATCTTGAAGCCCTACCAAGATCCCAACAAGGTCTTCTCTGGACGCCAGCCGCCGCCGCCGCCCGTCCTCGTCCATGATGAACCCGAGTACGAGGTCGAGACCGTGCTTGCTCACTGCCGTCGATGGAATGGCACCGTGGAGCTTCTCATCCGCCGGAAGGGTTATGATCCTTCAGAGGATAGTTGGGTCTCTGAATTCGAGATGGATCACGCTCGTCGTCCTCTTCGCGACTACCTTGTCAAGCAGGGTGTTATGTCTACCACCCAGTTTTGAGGGGGGGAAGTGTGAGAGTACGACCCCGTTCCATTCCTTTCTCCTTTCCATTTCATTCCTCTTTTTTATCCTGATTCATTTGGTCTTTATCTCATGCCATTGGGATTCATATTCCTGAAACCTTTGGTTTATCCTGTTATTATCATTATATCACCGACCAGGCTCGGGATGTATTGGTACGCTATATCTAGCGTAATCTTGCCGTAATCCCTTGAAGCCAATAGCCTCGCGTGGCTATACGCTGGGTGATTCTATTTTCTAGAATGGTCTATTCCCTTGGGATAGGATAAAACTGGTTACCTGATGTACTTCGGAAGTATATAAGCGCCTTGTATCGATCGATTGTGCAAGCTTTTCTCGACACATTCGATCCTATGACATAGGGAGTGCCCATCCTGGCGCTGGCCTGTCAGGTGCCGGCGGAGATCGACAAGCCAAGCGGCGAAGTCGATCGCGTGCCCCTCTGCGTCCAGACGGAGCATGGCGTCCGCCATCGCTCAACCATAGCGGCACCGGGACACAGCGGCACAGCGGCATAGGGACACAGCGGCACAGGGACTCAGCGGCACTGAACAGGAAGGAAGGCCGAGGACGGCGCGCAAGTCGAGGCGCACAAGGGGCCAGTGTGTGGAGACGGGCCGACAGGGCGCGTGGTGCCAGAGGTGCGCAGGAGAGGGGCTGGCTAGGTGGTAGGGGCCGGCTAGGTGGTAGGGGCCGGCTAGGTGGTAGGGGCCGGCTTGGTGCAAGGGGCCGACTAGGCACAAGGGGCCGGCTAGGCGCGAGGGGCCGGCAAGGCGCGAGGGGCCAGCTAGGGCGCGAGGGGCCAGCTAGGGCGCGAGGGGCCGGTGAGGCATGAGGGGCCAGCTAGGGCACGAGGGGCCGGTCAGGCGCGAGGGGCCAGCGACGGCACGAGGGGCCAGCTAGGGCGCGAGGGGGCAGCGAAGGCGCGAGGGGCCAGCTAGGCGCGAGGGGACGGTGAAGCATGAGGGGCCAGCTAGGGCACGAGGGGCGGGCCGGCTGGGCGCTAGGGGCGGGCGACGACGCGAGGGGCCAGCTAGGGCGCGAGGGGCCAGCAAAGGCGCGAGGGGCCAGCGAAAGCGCGAGGGGCTAGCGAAGGCACGAGGGGCTGGCGACGGCGCGAGGGGGGCGGGCCGGCTGGTCGCGAAGGGGGCCGGCTAGAGGGTAAGGGGCCGGCTAGGGCGCGAGGGGCCGACAGGCACGCTAGGGGCCGGCTACGGCGCGAGGGGATGGCGGGCACTCTAGGGGTCGGCGGGCGAGCTAGGGGACGGCGAGGCGCGATAGGCTAGGGCGCAAGGTGGAAGCGGGTGGGGGGGGACCTAACCTACGCATGATACCATGTTAGAATGTTAAAATAGTTGAGACAAGGGAGAACAAGAGAGATATAGTGTTGGGGTTGTACCCACTAAGAACATAAACCTATCTAGCCTATAACTTCTACATAACATCATATGTATAAGTTGACACACACCCCCTAGCCTGGGTAGGGGGTAGAGCCTAACAAGCAACAGTAATCCAGGGCTGCACTACTAGTCTCGCCTCTGGTGTATGTAACAAAATAGCTAAGGGCATCACTATAATCATCAAAATACACATAATACATAGCAGAAGCAATCTGAGTCATCTCTAGCTCAAACACCGGGATGCTGCGACGGACAAGAACAGGCCACTACGGAAGGGCTGCCTGAGGTCCAAACTGACGACGGTACAGGTCATCGAGACGGCGGTAGCATCGAACGGCGGCGTGACTCGTACGCCCGCAGACCTGGCCGGCCTGGGGGCTGGTCAGTAGCTGGTACATACAGGTCACAAGGCCACCAGGGCCGCCAACACCCTGGCCGACAGTGGAGCTACACGAACCCTAGGGCACCGGCTGCCCCGGGGCCCAACCTCCACGGCCCCCACCACGACCACTACTCTAAGGGCCCGTCGGTCCCCACAGTAGTTGCTGCTGCTGCTGCGACCGCCGCTGCTGCTGCGGTTGCTGTTGCTGCTGTTGCTGCTGCTGCTACTGCTGCGCAACCCCCGAAGCCACCTGACCCACCTCTCCGTCCGCCCCAGCACCCCCTCCACCCGCCGCTGCCGACGATCCACGACCCTTGCCCCTCTTGCCCTTGCCCCTGTGACCCGAGGAGCGACTGGGCATGGTAAGCGCTGCAGCTGTCTCAGGGGGCAGAGCAGCCCTGAAAGATGGGGACCGCCACCGTCCCTGTGGCGTCAGCGATGGCACGGAGGCGCGACTCAACCATAGTCACAGCTGTGGAGAACTCAGCGACAGTCAGGGTAGTGAGGGGCCGAGCCAGGAGAGCTTCTCATGCAGGGGCGAGACGGTCAGGGAGGCGGGTGGCAAGGAGGTACAAGGTCATGTAGATGGGCGGGAAGTGGGTGGTGCACTGGTCCTCGGGGTAGGCTGCACGCCAGCGAGCCTCAAGGGAGTTCAAGTGCGCGACTAGGTCCGCGACAGTGGAGAAAGAGGCAAGGTCGGGGAAAAGAAATGGCAGCAAGAGACCACCAAGGTTATTAGAGGACTGGATAGAGTAGCGAGCGACAACTGCATCCTAGATTTCCTTAGCTAGGGTCTCTAGGGTCTTAAAGTGGGTCTGCTCGTCCGAGGGAAGGGCCCTAATGACTACCAGCTGCGCAGCTGCGTCGCGGGACTCCCAGACAGAGTAGGCGGCCAGAGCAGTCTCGTACGCCGCCCGCTGCGCGGACATCGTGTTAGCTGCAAGAGGAGCGGGCTCTGGCGGGGCTAGCAACGTACCCGAAGTGTGGCCCACCAGGGCCTGGCCGTCCTGACAAATGGACTTGAGCTGGCGGCGGAGGGCGACCAGCCAGGCAGAGAAGCCAAGTGTGCGGCCCTTTGCGTCCAGGCGAAGGACAGAGGCAGGCGGGGTCGCCATGGCGGTAGACAGCTAAGAGATGAGCTGGTGAGACGAGAGAGAGGAGCGAGGATGAGTGAGCGGGAGCCGGCGGCTGGTGACTAGCAGCTGGCAGCTGGACAGCTGGCGGTTGGCGGCTGGCTGCTGTCGGCTGGCGGCTGCCACTGGTGGCAAACGGCGGTCGGCAGCTGGCGGCAGCTGGCGGAAAGCGGCGGGCGGCAGCTGGCGGCTGGCTGTTGGCGGCTGGTGGCTGGCGGCTGGCTAGCAGGCTGGCGGCTGGCTGGCGGCTGGCTGGCAGTTGGCAGCCGGCTGGCTGCGGGGCGGGCAGTGAGCGGCAGGGAGCGCGCAGTGGGCAGCAGCAGTGGGCAGTAAACAGGCGCGCGCGGGCTGCTAGGGAGCGGCAGTGGCAAGGGCAGCAGCGGGCGGCAGCGGCAGTGGGCGGCAGGCAGCAGCGAGGGACTAGTGGGCCGGTCGGCGGCAGGCTTGCAGGCTGGCGGTAGGCAGCAGGCTGGCAGCAGCAGTGGCAGGCCAGCAGGCCAGTAGCAGCGGCAGTGGCAGGCTGGCAGCGGCAGCAGCAGGCCGGCGGCAGCAGCGGTAGGCCTGCAGTTGCGGCAGGCCGGTGGCAGACTGCGGGAGGCCAGCGACGGCGGCAGCGGCGAGCAGGCCGGTGATAGAGGCAGGGGCAGCAAGTGGCAGGCCGGCAGCAGTGGGCTGGCGATGGCTAGGTGCGAGCGAGCTGCTGGCGGCGAGCTGGCAGTGTCCTGCTGGCGGCGAGCTTGCAGCGTGCTGCTGGCGGTGAACTGGCAGTCGCTGCTGGCGGCTAGCTGGTAGGCGCTGCTGGCGGCTAGCGGGCAGGCGCTGCTTGTAACGTCTGCGGACGGAAATTACCCTAGAGATTGTAAATGCATTCTGCTGTGCCTCTGCGTAACCTCATTTTGACCCAGTGGGTAGCGAGGCGTTGCACTGGTACCAGAGCTTAGGGTTCGAATCCCGGATGGACACAGTTTCCGCGCATGGCTGAGGTTGTGGCGAGAACTCGAATGTGCGAAAAATACAGCTGCGATTGTATCCAGTCGCGAACGATCCTAGCCGCTGGCCTTGCCCACGAGCGAAGTCGCTGCTGCCCTTCAGCGAATTGTGCGAGGTCCTTGCGAGGGCCGACTCCCTGGAAACCAACGAGGACGTTGGCACCAGGGGGGGACGAGTGTAACGTCTGCGAGGGAAATTACCCTAGAGATTGTAAACACATTCCGCTGCGCCTCTGGGTAACCTCGTTTTGACCCAGTGGGTAGCGAGGCGTTACACTGCTGGCGGCGAGCTGGCAGGCACTTCTGGCGGCGAGCTGGCAGGCGCTGTTGATGGCTAGCTGGCAGGCGCTGCTGGCGACGAGCTGGCAGGCGCTGCTGGCGGCTAGCTGGCAGACGCTGCTGGCGGCGAGCTGGCAGGCGCTGTTGGCAACGAGCTGGCAGGCACTGTTGGCAGCAAGCTGGCAGGTGCTGCTGGCCGCTAGCTGGCAGGCGCTGCTGGCGGCGAACTGGCAGGTGCTGCTGGCGGCGAGCTGGCAGGCGCTGCTGGCGGCTAGCTGGCAGGCGCTGCTGGTGGCGAACTGCTGCCAGGCCCTGCTGACAGCGAACTGCTGGCGAGCGGCAGTGAGCTGCTGGCGGAAGCAGTGAGCTGGCGGCGGTAGGTGGCCGCGAGCGGCAGGCGAGCTATCGCGGCAGCGAGCGGCGCGCTGGCAGCGGCAAGGCGCTGGTAGCGGGCGGGCGGCGTGCTCATGGCAGGGCGTGGGCAGCGAGCTGGTGGCGAGCTAGTGGGGCAGCGAGGAGGCGAAGTGGCAGCATAGGGCGGGAGGCGTGAGCTAGGGCACTAGCGAGCGCAGGAGCCTCGGTCCTAGTCTAGGCTAAAGTGTAAGCTTGGGCAGTGGGAGGGCGAGAGTACCTAGGCAGAAGCGCGACGGCTAGGAGCGACCTAGCGACATACCATGTCGAGATAATCAAGTGACAAGGCATAGGAATACAGTTCCACTTAGGCATATCTAGTGATGTACCCCATATCAGTGTGAGTCCACTTAAAGCGAGAAGCTATAATAATGACCCCCACTTCTAGTTGGACCCAACTCGAAATGGTTCGGATCAAGAGTGTATTGGTTGGAACCTTGGGAGGCATGTTTTTTTTTCCCCGACAGTTCTTACATGGCCGATCCTTGGCGAAAAGATTACAAACGGACATTTTGCCTAATTGTCGCATAACACAATCACTCGCTACGCTGCGACAAAACTAGCTGCGGATCTAAATTTTGGAAGCCAAGGCACACCCTTCCTCGTCAGTTTTCACTTCCAAGCCCTGCAAAGCGAAAAATTTCACCGAAGACTGAGTGCACGATATCAGAGAAAGAGAGAGTGAGCGAGCGAATGCAAAAATCGAGGGCATGTGATCATACATGAGTGGGGACAGATACGCGCGAGAGGTGTGGAGAGAGGGAGATATGGCGGGAGCGATGGGCGAGCGAGTGTGGCGCAGCGGGAAGGGAGTGGCATGGCGAGACGCTCGCTCCTCCTCCTCCTCTCTCTCTCTCTCTCTCTCTCTCTCTCTCTCTCTCTCTCTCTCTCTCTCTCTCTCTCTCTCTCTCTCTCTCTCTCTCTCCCGCTGCGCCACTCTCTCCCTATTCTCACCTCTGCCTCTCTCCTTCTAACCGCGCCACTCTCCTCCACGCCGCGTCACTCCCCCACTCTCTCACCGCGCCTCTACCGCTAACGATGCCTCTCTCTCTCTCTCTCTCTCTCTCTCTCTCTCTCTCTCTCTCTCTCTCTCTCTCTCTCTCTCTCTCTCTCTCTCTCTCTCTCTCTCTCTCGCCGCGTCTCTCACCCTTTCTCCCCGCGTCTCTCCCTCTCTCGCCCGCATTTCTCCCTATCTCGCCCGCGTCTCTCTCTCTCTATCGCTGCGTCTCACCCTTTCTCCCCGCGTCTCTCCATCACTGGCCTCGTCTCTCCCGCTGACGCCACGTCTCCCTCTCTCTCCCTCTCTCGCCCGCGTTTCTCCGTATCTCGCCCGCGTTTCTCCCTCTCTCGCCCGCGTCTCTCCCTCTCTCGCCGCGTTTCTCCCTCTCTCCCCGAGTCTCTCTCTCTATCGCCGCGTCTCACCCTTTCTCCCCACGTCTCTCCCTCTCTGGCCTCATCTCTCCCGCTCACGCCGCGTCTCCCTTTCTCTCCCTCTCTCGCCCGCGTTTCTCCCTCTCTCGCCCACGTCTCTCCTTCTCTCGCCGCGTTTCTCCCTCTCTCCCCGCTTCCTCGTCTCTCCCGCTCATGCCGCGTCTCCCTCTCTCTCCCTCTCTCGCCCGCGTTTCTCCCTCTCTCCCCGCGTCTCTCTCTCTCTATCGCCGCGTCTCACCCTTTCTCCCCGCGTCTCTCCCTTTCTCCCCGCGTCCCCCTCTCTATCGCCGTGCCTCACCCTTTCTCGCCGTGTCTCTCCCTCGCTATCCGCATCTCTCCCTCTCTATCTCTCCGGCAGCGCCACACTCTCTCTCACAGTTCTATCGGCACCAAGTTTCTATGCGGTGGGGCAGCTAGCGGAACTAGCTTGCTTTCTCGGCGATTTTTTGCTAGCTGGATGTCGCTTTGCGTGGGGAAAGTGGTGAATCCTCAGCAATTGTGAACCCAGGCCCAACTTGAAAAACGAGTTGGGCCCATCTCGATCCGAGAGCCCCAACTCGTTGCTTGCACTCGCCGTGCAAGTGTCGCATCGAGAAGTGCGACCCCTGACAAGGATTCGTTTTCAGATTTGCGTGTCGCGCATTTCGCCCTGCGATCAACATTTTGGCGGGACCCAATCAGCTTTGAGCTGAAATTCCGATCTGCCTACCCCTGCCATTTTGGAACAGTTATTTGTTGAAGCTGGTTTCCAACTTGAGTCGCTCAGAGGGAGCCCTCTTTCAAGTTGGGCCAGCCTTCACAATTATAGCTTCTCGCTTTAAGCTTTAGTTAGTATATTCCTAACACATATGAATGTTAACAGTAATGATGTTTAGCTTCCGCAACCGTCAACAGCCCTGTATCAGTCAGCCTAAACACAAGGTGAGACGAACAAAGTGTTGTGGAAAATTCCCACCTGGTTCGTTACGTTAGGTCCCTGGTACCATAGGCGTTTGTACCAAAATCGGAGTTGTTTGCAGTTTTCATAACTGAACTGAATGTGTTAGCACGTGCAGGAACACTACTCTCTGCTGAGTGAGCTTCCGGCAAACTTTATGCCTGAGAAACACCAGTTGGCTGTTCTACGGCCCCATATGATTCCCAAGTCCCCATCCCAACCCAGTCATGTCTCCCAAGGAAAAGAATCAGCTGCTTGTCTTGCTGTGCAGAGGTACAGGTAGGTGATAGATCACCAATTGTGCCACAAGTGGGCGTCTGCGCCCTCATCAAACCCACTTGATGATGCGAGTGCCTGCAGCTCGAGCCTCTTGCTGTACTTGGCTCGCCGTCTCTCGTCATACTCCTCCCAACCCTCAATCTGCAGAGAAGGGGAACCAGCAGGGCGCATGTAAGACGACTCACATCCACCCTGAGAACACCATGCACAGTGAGCTTGCAGTGCAGTGCATCTCAGAAAAAAAAGAAAAAAAAAAAAGTGAGATCATGCACGCATGGTCAGCGTGCCTCGCGAAGTTGATCAGAGGTGAGCTGGACTCAGTGAAGGGAGCAGGTGAACAGCTATAGCTCCATGACTTCATCGTCACACTCGAACCCCAACGTACCTCACACAGTTTATCAACGGTGCTCTGGTTCCCGTGGAGGGAGAGGGTGAGCAGCTACAGCCCCAAAAGTCTGGAGTCGACTCAAAGCCCAACCTACCGCGACTGCACCTGGTCGATGATAATCTGGGTCCTATGCAGAGAAAGGGAGAACCGCAATAGCTCCGTGACTCTTATATAGTCCGACTTCAGCGTACCTCACGCAGTTGATCGATGGTGATCTGGTTGCCATGCAGGGAGAGGGTGAAGAGCTCGGTGCACCCTGTGAACACCTCTGAGGGGAAGTTCTTGATTGCATTATTGCTCAGCAGCAGAATCTGCATATCAGATTTGTTGAACCAAAAATAGTGGGAAAAGAGCAGGTGAGACAGAAAATTCAATGAGGGGAATCATCACTAACTGGAGAAAACAAAAGCCGATAGAGAAGAAAAAACTAATCACCAGCACCTGTAAACCACATATTTTTTCTTAATATTATTATGTCACATGGATTTCAATCAAACTCCCCGCTCAGCTCACCTTCAGATTGGTGAGGCGACCCGGAGCACCAGGCACGTGCGACCTGGTGATTTCAAGTGAAGCTGTTTTTTCATTGGATTCTCATGCCAAGTTTGTTTTTCTTGTTTCTTTTTGCTCAAGCGATCTCTTTTATACTGCTGCTCTTCCTAACCAAGGCGCAAAAAAAAAGTTTTTTTTTTTTAAAAAAAAAATTCTGTCGTTTTAAGCGACATCGTAAGATTCCGTCGTTCAAAACGTTAAAAAGGGGTCAATGTGCCTTTTTTTTATGTGGTGCAAAAAAGCGATCGTCTTATACGATCGCTTTTTTTGTACCCAACAATTGTAGACGTATATTGCGTATGTCGGTTTGGCCGACTCGATTTTGGTGTCGCGCCGAAGTCAGATTCGCGCTGACACAATTTTCCGGCGAAACGTGACTCAGTGCCAATGTCGAGCAAAAAATGGATCCAATTTGCGGAGCCGTTGCGAACTGTACCCCACTGTCGCTAGTGACCTGGTGTACAGTTTCGCGCCTGAAAAATGAGTTCGCGATGTACGCGTCACAACGCGAACCTGTCGTGTCGTGAATTTCCCAATCCCCCCAGATGTGTGCACCCTTTCCAACGACTTCATCAATCAGCCTTCACAATTTTGCCGAGTTGAGCACATACAAATGTGGAGCACGACAGAGCAGGTGAGTGCATCTCGAATTCCAGAGACTAGGAATCTTAGCTAGCTCAGTCAGTGCTAGCAGCAGCGCCCTCGACCAGTGTTTCGCCATGCCGCGGACTCCTTCTCGATTGTGGGAACACGTCACCGGCACGTTTGATGACGCCGGTAAACTCGTTAGGGTCCAGTGTAATCACTGCACGCAAACCATGACGTCCAACGCCACACGAATTAAGGAGCACCTTTTCGGTACCCCGGCCACGAAGTCTAAGAATATCGCCAAGTGCACCTCCGAGTTCGCGCGGACGCTGCACGAGAAGGGAAACACCACCGGATCTTCGCGTGGCTCGGCCTCCACATCGACGAGCGAGGCGAAGACAACCAAGCCGCAAGCCCAGCTCGATATCCGTGCGATGCCGTATCAGGCTGGCAAGGAGTGTCTTGACCACTTGTGGCCCGTCGCGGTGGCCGAGAATGACTGGGTCTTCCGCTGTTCCCGGTGAGCAATCCTCTCTCTATCGCCATTGATGCTCCCGCAGCACGTCTTTCGCTTCCAGCACCTGTTCCTCGCGTGGCATGCACAGCGCTCCCCTCACTCTAAGTCCCCGCCTAATCCCACCCACCAGGTCCAAAGCGACGCAAGCGTTCGTGAACGCGGCAGTGGCGTACCGGAAGCCGTACAAGCTACCCTCGGCATACAAGGTGTCGGGGCCCCTGCTCCAGAAGTTGAAGGCCGACACCTTCGAGTTGGTGTCGCCCCTCAAGGAGACTTGGAAGTCCGTCGGCTGCACCTTATCAGTCGAGGGCTGGTCTTGCTTGAAGAGCCACGCCATCGTATGCGTCATTGCGCAAAACGAGAGCGGCCGGTGCTCGCCGATGTAGTGGACTCTAAGTCCGCCAAGAAGACAGGGTCTTATTTGGCGGCCTTGGTCCGCAAGGCCATCTGCGAAGTTGGCGACAAAACCGTTGTCCAGTGCGTGATGGACAATGCCACCAACAATAAGAAAGCGTCCAGCCTTTTGAAGGAGGGCTTTTCGGCCATCTTTTTCACCAACTGGGCCACTCATTGCCTAGACCTGATGCTGACTGGCATTGGGGGCATCCCCGTCGTGCAGAAGGCGCTATCGGAGGCGCAGCGGGTAGGGATGATGGTTAAGAACAGTGCGAGCACCGTCATTCTCTTTAGGGAGATTTTCAGCCAGCTCGAACTTATCAAATCCGGAGCCACTCGTTTTGGAACCCAGGTGAGAATGATCACCCGGATCCTTGCTGTGAAGGAGTCTTTGCTGCAGTTGGTCATTAGCGAGGAGTGGAAGGGGGTAGTCGTCAGTGGGACAAAGGAGGGTCAGGAGATTCGGGCGATGCTATTGGAGGAAAAGTTCTGGGGGTCCGTGAACGTTGTACTTCGGCTCATGCAGCCGGTGTATGACGTCCTTCGGGCAGTGGACACGCGAGCACTGCTGATGGCCAAGATCTATGGCCTCATGGTTGAGACCACGGTCAAGATCAACGAGGCGGCTAGAGCTGTGGGTAAGTCATCCGCCTTTGTCCCCCTCCCAGCTTTCTTCTCTGCCCGTTGCATGTTGGATCCCCTTCCCGAATCCCCGCTCTCTCTCCACCCAATCCCCATTTCCACAGCTACTTTCTTCATTAAGAAGACCAAGCTGATGGAAGCAAAGGACAGAGCCGCGTTCTTGGCCAGCGTGAAGAAGATTATCGCAAAGTGGTGGGACGCTCAGCTGCACAGCCCCCTCCATGCTTTGGGGTGGCTGCTGAGCCCCCTCAACCAATTCGCGGACCAGGTGTGGGGCGACACCAAGCTCCGCAAAGGGGTTGACGCCATGCTGGAGGCATGTGAGTCTGACCCCGGACCGCGCACCATGCTGCAAGCGCAGCTGCAGTCATTCCACAAGGGGGAGGGGAAGTTGGGGGGGAAGGACGCGCGGTGGGCGGCTTCCGCTCTGGTCAAGTGCGGAAGGATGTCGGAGGCCGAATGGGGGCTCATCCACGGAGAGGAGGTGCGCCAGCTGCAGGAGCTTGCGGTCAGGATCCTCTCCCAGCCCATCATGTTGTGACTTTTGAAAAGAAGATGGGCGGGTCCAAGAAGAGCAAAGAGAAGCGTGCAGCAGACTCGGATGAGGAGGAAGAAGCAGGGAGCTCTAGTGAGAGCGGGGGGGATGAATCCCACGAGAGGCGAAAGGGGGGAGCACCATGGGAGCAGAGCGGGAGTGAGAGCGAGGAGGAGGATGACGAGGAGGAGGATGAGTAGAAGTAGTAAGGGGGGGGTTAGGGGCCGGAGGAAGGTAGGGGTAGGGAGCTTAGCTCACGGGGAAAGTGGAGGAGGATTGGGAATAGTAGTGGGGGGACGGAAGGGGCAGCGCGATAGGGGTAGGGAGCTCTACTCACCTCTTTTATGGCGAATCTGTTGTCGTAGTCAGAGCAGTGTGCCTCAGGGATAGTGCCATGGGGTTTTTAGACTGATTAGTAAAATTTGTGACTGGAGTTTTCGAACAAAAAAACGGCGCTAAAAAAAAAAAAAATGCCATATAAAACGATCGTATTAAACGGCCCGTTTAAAACGACCATCGTTTTTTTGCACCTTGTTCCTAACCATGAGTGACGGAACTCTGGGTCGCTCAGCTCACCTTCAAATTGGTAAGGCGACCCAGAGCAGCAGGCACGTGGCAGATGAAGTTAGCTGAGAAGTTGGCCTGCAGAAAATCAACATGATTGTCATAAGAAACCAAGGCGAGCCTCATGAAAGTAACACGTCACACAAAGACAGGAAAAGACACAAGCAGCTGAAGGGATCAAATCAGACAGGCTGAACAGTACCTCTGCAAGGGAGACACACTCCGCCATTGAAGGTGGGATGATTCCCAACCTGCGAATGGGAGTGGAAAAGAGGCCCTTAAGGTCAGAAGCGGGTCTGAGAAGAGGCAAGCAGATTGACGGAGGCCTGAAGCGATAAACAGAGAAGACTATGCAGGCACAGCATATGTCACCTGAAAAATGTCATGGAAAAAGTGGCCTGAAATGCCATTTTCAATATCATCAGAAGTAGGCTGCACAGACAATGTATGTCTAAATTCCATCTGGACACTGTCACCTGTTGTGAGCAGTATCAATCCCTTCCAGGTTCTTCAGCTGCCCAATTTCTGAAAAGTCGACTCAAAAGTCACCCAATCTCTTGAGTCGACTCAAAAGTCACCTCGTTACAATGTCACACGACAATGTATGCCACCTCGATATTGTCACCTGCTGTGAGCAGATCAATCCATTCCAGGTTCTTCAGCTGGCCAATCTCTAGAAAAGAGACAAGAGGACATCCACACCACCTGAAATGCCTCTTAAACCGATGCCCCCTCATACAAAATGACGCCTATGAGAGTCATCACCTGCTCTGAGCAGCATCGATCCACTCCAAATTCTTCAGCTGGCCAATCTCTGGAGGCAGAGACGAGGGGGGGGGCGTTGTAACTGGCGTGTTATTTCGACTGACACACACATACCTGTTGTGAGCGGCATCGATCCACTCCAGGTTCTTCAGCTGGCCGATCTCTGGCGGCAGAGAGGAGAGGGCGTTGTGGCTGAGAGCCAGGCGCTTCAGCGACGAGAGTTGGCCGATGATGGATGGAATCAACCCTATTCTGCAACACGCACAGAGAGAGTCGAGATTCAATGAGACAGTGGCACGCAGAACTTTCGAGTAAAACGTGAAAGAGTTGGCCGAGATATTGGACGGGATCAGCCATATTCTGCAGAATCAAGCCAAGGATCAAGGTGACTGTGGCGAGTGGTGGAGGCTTGGAGTGAAATTCGAATGTGACATGAATCATGAATCATGATGAATGAATGGAATCGAAGGCATTTGATTTGAACACATCAAGTCAAGATTCAAAATGGCAATGCCAAGTGGAGGCTTCGAGTTAACTTGTTCTGCAGCACACCGTCATCAAGATTGAAGCGACAGCTGGCTGGCTGGCAGGAGACTCGTTGGTCACCACGAACCCTAAAATACGTGGGGAAGCGCACCGTCAAGATTGAAGTGATACGCGCCCCGTCATTGTCTTTGTCTAACAGAAACCCTTAAATCGGTTTGGTGAGGTGCATGGATGCACAAAACCAGGAAAACTCTTACTGGTTGTGATCGAGGGCCAGAGCCATCAGGTTGATTAGCCATATCAAGGCCTTCCACGCTATGGTGTGTTTGAGAATGCTAAAAAATCCCTCAACAGGAGACCACTTACTGATTGTGATCGAGGGCCAGAGCCATCAGGTTGGGTAGCCGTGTCAAGGCCTCCCACGCAATGGTGTTCTCCGTCAGCGAGTTGTGGCTCAGACGTAGCCTCTGCAACGAACCATCACCATCAGCCAGAAATCCCCGTTTCAGTGAGTCTTCACTACCAAAACAACACAATCAGTAAACAATGAGCAGACATATATTCGTCTAAACAATTTGATGGCTGGACAACAATTACACCATGGCTCAGCACCAAAAATGGAAGATCACAAATATAAGGAAAGTTTATGATTGCTCACATCATCAAAAGTGAATATCTGACCTGGAGGTTGGTCAAAGCCGTTACGGCTGGCGGGAAGATCCGAAGACTGTTGCCGCCCAAATCCAGGACGCGTAATGCAGGACCCGCAACCCACACGGCTCCAGGGACAACCTGAACCAAGCGAGAGAAACGAGAGATTAATTAATGAGGCGCCTGAAAAACCGCGTAATGCGGGCCCCACAACCCACATGGCTCCAGGAGGAACGACCTGAGCCGGCAAGAGAGGAATCGGATTGGTTCGAGAAGACTGCGCGTGGATGCGACTGTGAGAGTCTGCGTGCATGCGCGTGTGTGCGTGCGCGTGCCTGTGCATGTGCGCATGCGTGTGAAACTGTGAGAGTCTGCGTGCGTGTGCGTGTGCGTGCGTGTGCATGTGCGTGTGCGCGAGCGTGGGCACTGTGAGAGTCTGCGTGCGTGTGCGTGTGCGTGCGTGTGCGTGTGCGTGTGCGTGTGCGTACATGTGCGTGTGTGCGTGCGCGTGCGTGTGCTGTGCGTGTGCAACTGTGAGAGACTGCGTGCCTGTGCGTGTGCGTGTGCGTGTGCGTGCGCGTGCATATGCGTGTGTGCGTGCGCGTGCGCGTGCGCGTGCGTGTGCGTGTGCGCGTGCGCGTGCGTGCGTGTGTGTGTGTGTGGGTGTGTGCGTGTGCGCGTGCGTGCGTGTGTGTGTGTGGGTGTGTGTGCGCGTGCGCGTGCGTGTGCGTGGCGTGTGCGTGTGCGCTTGCGCGTGCGCGCATTTTGGGTGCTGCGGGTGCGCGCGTCTATACTGTCTGTGAGTGAATGGGGGAAGGGGGAGAGATGGGGAGAAGGGGCCGGAGAACGACAAACTTGCGAATCAGAATACGCGCTTACCTGCAAGTTGCTGTCTCTTGAAGACACGATTCCAATCTGCACCCACATCCTTTGCCTGGCCCTCTCTTGCCCCAACACAACCAGAGATGACTTTTGAGTCGACATAAAATTGAGCGCATACCTGCAAGTTGCTGTCCCTTAGAGACACGATCCCTGTCTGCACCCACATCCTTTGCCTGGCCTTCTCTTGCCCCAGCGCGACCGGGGATGGAGCTGCAACAGACCGCTGCAGACCTCTGCCGTATCTGTGGCTGGCTGATTGTCCAAGCGTGTAGTGGTTACCACCAGCCTGTAACACATTTCACAATTGACTATCTCAACAACCGTAACAACCACGTATGCTCTTCCGTAGAATGCACGCATGCCGTGAATACACGGAAAATATGAGTCGTAGTGAGGCACGAGAACGGAAGGACGCAATGGTTCGTAAATGGAAGGAGACGAAAAGATGACAGGGCAAATGGCACGTGGATTTCGCACCCCTTGATGTACTCCAGCCGACGCCATGAGCATAATCTTCGCATTATTGGTGATCTTCGCTTCCTCAAACGACATATCAGAGGTCAGAATCTTCCCTGCAAACAACACGACAGACAGCTCAGTCAGTTCTCGCATAAACCTCCTCAGACGACATTTCAGAGGTCAGAATCTTGCCTGCAAACAACGCAAAACACGGCTGCTTCAAACGCTCACGCTCATAAACCTCGGCATCAACAACCTAACCGCGACGCGAAAGACGCACCTTTGTAAATAAGCTTCTGACCCCTTGAATGCACATTTGTCAAACCTTCCAAGACTTCCATCAACTCCTTCACGATGCATCCTGGTGACATCATCAGTTGATGCGTCTGCTGGCCATGTTTGACAACCAATTTTAACTTCTCCTCCGCTGTATCTACCGCAACAGGCTCGGGTTCTGGGTCGCCTCCAGCCATTATCGACCTCCCAAGCCTGTCATGCACTCCGGAAAATGCAGGACACCAAGCCTACTTCGCCGAGAAGAATACAAATTGATATGAGTAGCCGTGAAACGCGGAAAAAAACTCCCTCCGCTACGTCACGCCTAAACGCTAAGAAATAACGCCCATCGTATGCTGACGAGGTCCCTAAAGCGACGAAGAGACGCAACTAATTAGTTCCAAGATACCATGGAGGGAGATAGGAGTTAGGTTGGTGAGCCCGCCCGCGGAAAATGCTTGGGTGGAAAGGAATCCCTTGGGAACAGCGGGGGACTGAGGGAGGGACGGAGAGGGGGCACTGTTGGGCGAAACCCTAAAGCGATGGGGATAGTAGCGGTGGTCAGCCTCAGGCTGGTAAACAGACCGACGCGTTTACGCTTTGAGCCGCCTAAAACCCTGTAGCAGCTCCTAAGGTTGATACAGTTTCGAAAGCGTATTTTACAAAAACGATGCCCTCCTTATCCCTAGTAAATTTGTTTCGTGTACCACGCATCTCATTAACTTCAAATCATACATGACACAAACAGACCTTATGCTTATTACGCAGCTTTCTGACAATTGACATGATACATTATGGTTGACATTTCACCTAACAGGTCATGGACATGGACGTGCATGGACATGACATGACAACTCTAGACCAAATGCTCCACGACAGGGCTATGCCTAAAAATAATGGATGATGTGCATGGACATGACAGACATGACCACTGACCAGGTAGTCCTCGTGCCTAACAAATGCTGGGCCCCGTGCATGGACGAGACAGACTTCATCAGTCCTCCATAGAGACCTTGGGTGTGTGTGGCCGACCTCTTTCATACCTAAACCTACTGACTGACAGTGAACACTGACGGCTAGACCAGAGCAGGGTCTGTCAACCTGCAAAGAACACGAATCTTGACAAACCTACGGGTAAGTGCACTTGTCATGACTTCCACCGAGAAAAAAGAGCGAAAGAGCTCGCCAGACCTGCATGACCTAGACCCCAAACCCTTCAGCCATATCAGCTCGAAGCCGCTGTGATGGCTGCAATCCTGCTCTGCGCCCATTCAGCAGTCTCCTTGATGGATTCGTCTGAGTTCATGCACTCCTCAATAAACTCCCGGTGGAAGCGGTGAGTGGCAAATAGCTGTGCGGCGGCGACTCCAAGCGTGTCAGCCAAGTCACCCAAGACGCCAACTGCAGCCTTGGTAACAATCTCGTCCCTGCATTATTAGTGGCAATCCAGGAGGGGGGCGGGTGGGGGGGAGATGGGAAATGCAGAGTCTGGTCAGCGACAAGCCACCTATGGTGATTGATGGACATCCCCAAACAACCCCTCCCCCCCCCAAAAAAAAAACACCAGCCTCACTCAACAGAATTGGCAACAGCTAGAATCCCTCATGTGAAATTTCACAGCTATTTGACTGTTGAAAAACAGGCCTGACACAAGTTTAGACATCCGATACAGCCCTCACACATCAATACCCCAAGCCCTCGTTGATATGGCCCTCATACATCCATTCTCCAAGCCCTAATACATCTACATTTCAAGGTTTCAAGCTCCAAATCTGCCATGTATTTCATTCACTTCTTCCCGTACATAGCCCATTCTGTGTCGTCCACTGCGTGTCATCAACCACCCTGGACATCACACACCATTCTCAATCCCCCCAGGCTACGCACCTTTCCTTGTCCAGGTATACATTCTCACTTGACAGTAGGATGCGCCATCCCGTGCCCTTGATCACCCACTCTGTGCGCAGCTGGTTGTTGTACTCCACCACCTCGTCCCAAACGTCGTTCATCCCCAAACATCACCCCAGCTTTTTTAAGCACATGTACCACGCTCAATCCCCCCCACTAAGCTTCGCACCTTTGCTTGTCCAGGTACACATTCTCGATGAACAGCAGGATGTGCTCCGCGTACGGCGCCATGAGCTCCGGTTTCGTCGCCTTGAAGCCCTGGAAGATGCCCGAGTACGCCTCAAAGATCCCCGCGCGCAGCTGGTTGTTGTAGTCCACCACCTCGTCCCACACGTCATTCATCCCCTGCTGCGCCGACAGCTCCGCCGCGCTCTGCAGCATCGGCATCGCGTACGCCAGGTACTTAGCGAAGTGCTCGCCGATCGCCAGCGCTATGTCCCCAAAGCAGGAGAAGATCGGCGGCTTCACGCTACGGTGGAGCTGGTCCGAGGAGAGGTCCTTGAGGAGCTGAGTCATGACGCCGTCGCAGTAGGGTAACACGGCTTCGTCCAGCGCTCTGCAGATGTCGCCCACGACGCCTACTGTTACGGCGCACACCTGGTATTCCTCAAAGTTCTGCAGTCCCATCTCCAGGTAGCGGTAGAACTCGGGCATGTACTTGCCGAAATCAGGGCCTGCAACCATGGGAAGAGAAAACGGCATCACCATCCCTTCAACAGAACTAACCTCTTCCCTGTCAGTGAGTCTAGTTCTGTTCAAACAGCATGAAATCGAAGTACTGGCGAACGAAACCTGCACGAGTGCATACCTGAAGAATACGCAAGCGCGCCAATGGCGAGCATGGCTTCTTCGTGCACTGTGGCGTTGCGGCAGGCGAAGACTCTGAGAAAGAGGGCCATCATCTGGTCCGCGTACTGCGTCACCCCCGCCTTGGTCGCGTCGTTGGCTCCCAGCTTCTGAATAATCACCTGTTGTAAAAAACAAACGCAAGTCGGCAAACGGAGCAATAAACATAAATGGTTTGAATTCTCGCACTGGGACCATTCTACGTTAACGCAATTCAAGACCATACCCCATCCGGAGTTTAACACCCCGAACTGACTGAACACTCCACCATAACCTACCATTACAGTGGAGCCTGCCACCTCGAATCCAAAATGCCAACCCAACAAAACGCGACACCAGGAAAAATAAACGCTTTATTCGCAAGCTTATTGAAATTCGAAACTAGAAACGCACGTAAGAAAACGAGGGGAGGATGGTATTACCTGGAGCACGCCGCAGAGCAGCGCCTGCAGCTCGCTCTGCTTCTCCCGGTCGTCGGTCGAGATGATCTGCATGTCCATGGTTCGCGCTAGCTTCTCCATGATCACCGGCGTCAGCTGCGCCGTCGTCGCCGCCGTGTCATCCCCCGAGCACCGCACGATCTCGTTCAGCGTCTCATACGCCGACGATCTCAGCCTCGAGTCCGACGCGTCTTCCCTGTCAGCCGTCGCCAGCAACGCCGTGATAAGCGGTTGAAAGTACGGCGTCAGGGACAGAGCCCCTTCGCTGCCTTCTGACCCTTGCGCGAGGAAGTAGATCGCTCCACAGACCTTCTCCGCCACGTTCGGGACGTCCTTGAGGCTCTCGATCAGTACCGCCAGGATGGCCGGAAGATTCGTGGCGTTGATGATCGGATTCTCCGGTGAAGATCCGTGCACGATCTCGAAGATGCGACCGAGAGTCCACGCCGTGGTGTCTTTCACATGCGCGTTCTCGTCCTTCATCGCATTCAGCATGAAGCCCAGCGCGCTGTTCACCAGCGGTACCAGCTGTTCCGTGTCAGGACCCTCGAGGATAGATCCGAACGCGTACGTCGCAGCTTCCCTGTTCCTCCACTCCGGCTTGCTGATGTTCTCCTGGACGTACGGCATGACTAGCGGAACGATGTCGTTCCCCACCGTTCTAGCAACCAGACCCAAGCAGGTACCGCCAGCCATGGCCAGATTCCACGCCGTCTCATCCGAATCTTGACCCTCCTCCTGCTTCGTGAGCGTCTCCAGCAGCATAGGAACAAGAGCTGGAAGAGCTTGCTTAATAAAGTTGAAATTCGTAACCTCTGAATCGGCCGTATACTCTTCCTGGAGCTCGATCTCCTCGTCACAGATGGACGACCACAACTCGACCGCCTGAAGAGCAACGGGCTCTTGATCTTCTCTCGTCGCCTTGGCTGTGATCTGGAAAATGTCGTTCATGTAGGGAGCGAGCTTCGAGTAGTACGTCGACGAGATGGCCACCAAGCACTCAAATGCAGCTTGCCGGACCCTCACGTCTGGACACAGCGACGCTTCACAGATGACGGTCATAATGTAGTTCCGCTCCACCTCATTCTCGAAGTTCGTCTGAGCGAATTCCAGAGCGTTGGAGAGCGCTCTCGTAGCAGCAAGTCGGATGTCGTTGTTCGGCTCAGTCTTGTTCATCCCTTGAACGACAGCAGTCAACACACTGTTGACCTGCTCCTGCGCCAGAGAGTCAGTCCCGGCGATCTCCTCGCAAACAAATCCCAAGGCTTCAAGGGTGCTCTCCTTGAGCTGATCCGGCTGCGGCTGAGCTGGCGATCCCATGTTGCCGACTAGACCAACGACAAGTTCAGGCCACTCATTTCGTGGAAGCTCGATCGCAGCGATCTTCGCAATGACTTGAGCAGATGTATGGCGAGCATCTTGGACTGGAGATCCAAGGGTAGCAAGCAGAGCGGCCTTAATCTGTCCCTTGATAGCTGCATCTAGAGCAATCCATCGCTGGATAAACTCGGCCTTCCGAACAGACTCCTTCGCATCGAGAGAGTTCTTCAAGATGAGACCGGCAAGTCGCCGAGAATCTGTCTGCTTCTCCGGATTTGCAAGCTCCAGGGCCAAGGAAACTAGGTATGCCGGAAAGTTTGTATCCTGAAGCTGCTTCAGGTTCTCCTCGGCCAGCCTCCGGACATTTCCATCAGGCGACTGAGCATTCAGAAGAACCTGTGTGATATCCATCTTGTACTCTAAGACACACCAACTGAATGCTGCAGCACTACCAGAGATCAGGAATGATCAGAGACCTGCAAAAAGGACCTGACAACTACACGAATGAAGACTACCCCGCTAACGACTAACTTTTATCCTCCACGTACTGTACTGGAAACTAAAGCTACTGCTTCCCTAGCACGTTGAGCACGGAAACACACAACAATAAATGCGATCTGAAGAACTAAGTACTGTGATGACAAAGCTCATGCGGTTGTTGTAAGGGAGAAGCTGATGGATGGTGGCCTTGCCTAACTTGCTGGAGCAAACAAACTGCCAGAATCCAGATCCACAGCGTCCCTGGGTGAGAATTTGAGAAATGGAGGGAACTGATGGAACATGCTAGAAAGCGTAGGGGATGCGACGGAGTCGCAGGAACCAAACACTGCTTCTACGACCTTGTGCGGCTGCTGGTTGCTGGAGCTGCGACGCTCTTGAAGTTCGTTGGCTCGCGAATCTGCCTCGCAAATATCGTGCGACGAAAAAATCGCCACATAGCGTCCTAGCACACCTTTTGCTGCGACATGTGCTGGCTGGGTGTCTGCTTTTGGCGATGCTCTCGATGCTCGCAAATTTTCGTGAGCCGGTTTGCGCAGGGCGTGCGAAAGAAAGAAGATTCGAATTGCCCATATGGCAAAGCGGCAAATCGCCACCCGCTGACTGACTTCTTCATCCTGACAGCCGCCACGAGCTCTCGTAGCCTCATGTTTATCACCTCTGCCTGGCACCATTGAGCGGAGCCGCGTGCTGCGTAAATGGTCGAACTTCTGGGGCTTTGCCTTTCAACAAGGGAGGATACGGATTAAAATGCCATGTCTACATAACTACACTTCAGTACCTGCATTGCCCCAGAACTCCTCTAAAAAAACATATTACATGACCTTTGTATGACGCCACACTGGCCCTCAGATTCGTTTTAGGCCACACTGAATTTTCAGGGTCGGTACACAAAGGCACCCTGAAAACACCTTGAAAATCAGGGCTGGTACTGTTTTTTTAACTAGTTAGCCCCGTTTTTTCAGATTCCAACGCTGATTTTTCAGGGTCGGTACATAAAAATACCCTGAAAATCAGCAAAAATCAGGAAAAAAAAATCCTGAAATCTGAGGGCCTGACGCCACATCATTTGATACCATGACGTTTTGCAGCTTTGAAGCTGCTAACATTTTCAACATACACACCCAAGATGCGTTAGCACTTCATTTCGGCAAACCTTCTCAAGCTTATGACATACCCTCATCATTTACAACGAAACAATGTGTTGCTTATGGCTTGTGCACTCCTCTTTCTTCATGTAGTCAGCCATGACAGCCATGAAGGTAAGGCAGTACCTGATGGTGAAGGATTTAAGAGTGGACGAATCAAGACAGCCCTAGGCACTTCGTCCTGCTGGCTTACTAGCTTGCTACCCTACAGGCTACACCTAATCTCACTAATTAGAACCACTAGCCAGTGCCTCACACTGGCTTTCAATTCCTAGAGTTTCTAACAAGCGTGGCCATGTCTCTGGGATCCCTCCGGTTATTTCAAACTCCAGCAAGCGACCTCGTTCACTATAGAAGTCCTCCACAGGCTTGCTCTGCACGAAGGGCCATTCCAAACGGCAGCAAACTAGCATCAGTATCAAAACGGAGGACAGGAAGACACAAGGAGTAGGACGAAACGCCCGAAGGCACCTCACCTGTTCTTCATAAACTTTGAGACGAGCAACCACTGTTTCTTCTGTGTCATCCGCCCTCTGGACAAGCTTGCCTTCACAACCCGCTGGGGCGGGCAACGGAGGCATGAAAATGGCTGGCTTTCCTTCTTTCGCAGCAATGTCAATGTTAGCCACATTGTAGTTACCCCCACACTCTGAACACAATCTACGGCCCAGCATCTTCTGAACCAGCACTTCCTCCCGAAGGGTTAGGTTCACTGCCAAGTCAATCTGTGTCATAGATTCCAGGACTCCCTGCAAGCAAATAATAGGAGAACGACGTCAGGACATGAGCCTCTAACGGCAGGAATGGTGCAATGAATTCATGTGAAACTTACTGCTTGCACAGCTGTGCGAGGAAAGCCATCCAGAATGAAGCCACCTTCGCCTGTAACGAGGCCCTGTTCCAGACGTCTTGATAGAAGATCGAAAATAATCTCATCCGAAAGAAGCTGACCGCGATTCATGACTTCTTGCACCTGCCATGATGACCGCCACGATCCACGAACCCTTCGGTCAAAACGCTGGACGATAACATGACTGGGCGACAACTTCTCTTAAGTTTCCGTGCTTGCCTTGATTGCGATCGGCGATCCGTTCTTCAGCTCCTGACGAACCAGATCGCCTGTGGAGATGTGAGCGATATTTAGGTACTTGCTCAGTCTGCTCGCGTATGTACCTTTTCCCGCTCCTGGTGACCCCAGAAAGACCCATTGTATTCTCCCGTCGGCGCCATTCAATGCATGTTGAGGTTCAGCAGCTAGCCGCCTCGCAGCTGGTGCGACTTCGCGTGACAGGTTAGAAAACTGCCTCCAAAACACAGCTGCTTGAGATCCTATGACTGATCCTGCCGCCTGTGCTAATCTTCGCCCAGCGAGAGCCATATTTGACCCCACAAGGCTGTCAGATCACCTTAACGTGCGACACTATGCCGATATTGGTTGATCGGCGAGGCAGCAGTCTGATTACCGGGAAGGATTGGTTGCTACCAAAAGCAAGTCCCTTCCGCGTCTCGAGTGCGATGGAGTAATATGCTCAGGGAAAGTATTGCAGCAGGTCGGTGGTTGTTGGCTTCAACCATCCACCTTCCTCCCAACCCAACCACGAGAAAAAGAGCTGATAACTGTATTCTTGATTTTGTCGCTGCCCCAGAGCCCAGTTTCCATGCCTGAGCTAGTCAGCTGTTTCCATGTCAGCAGGCAAAAGGTGTGCAGTGTACGGTGCTCACAATTTCTGTTGCCCGCACAATCCCCACTTCTCCGCGCGACACGACTCGTGGAAAGCAAGCATCTAGGCTGCCTGCCACCAAGTGTCCCAGTGTGGTGGAGGTTCGCGCAGGATGACGTGGAGTAGGGTTCAGGGTCCCAAGCGGAAACGGCGGCTATCGGATGTCAGCGTGTGGTGGTCCCCAGAATCTTTGAATTCTGACGTTTCCCACGTGTTACACATCTGCATCTCAACTTACGAACGGACGGCTCCTGATAGTCGCGAACACAAGCCCCTCCTTGGAGAGTGTCCTCAAGTTACGCGAAACTGAGCTATCATATGAGCTGTCTCGATTTTGGCGCTGTGTAAGCTTTCGACACTTTCGACAGTAAGTGAAACTGATTTCACATATTTCACACGTCGCATGTCACACATCTTCCACTTCCACGTGATCCCCCTCAAGCCTCAGGAAGGAGGGAAGGTGGATGCTGCCGTCACAGTGATCAGTTGGCACATTTCAGAGTCCTTCCAGCCTTACGGTTTTCTAGTTGCTGTAACGTCACCTGCGAATTCAGGACCAACATGGCGTGTCGTGTAGTTTGCCAGTTTGGTCCCGCTATCTTTCGCTTGACCAACGTAGAAGCTACCAGGACCGAATTGAGACTCTCATGCCCTAAGAAAATAAGATTGTCGAACGCTCTCCACGTCCACTCTCCACGCTCTAGTTCATGGAGCAGAGCCGAGCTTGCCTCGTCTCCCTGCACTGTACGAGTGGGGGAGGCTTTATCCCCGACAGAACTAAGAGCTGCTGCGTCTTTACGGTCGTTTTGCTTCTTCAGCTGTCCTCCTGACCGCTCATCAGAATTCGTAGAGGTACAGAATTTTCCTGTGGCTTCCACAGTCATTCCTCCTCCACCTTCGCTTTCGTTTCCGTGAGCTCGCACAGCTGCCATTAACGGAGGGTATAGCGTTTTTTGCAGCGACATCTGTTCATGAAAGCAATGGAGGAGGCACAATGTCTAGAAGACAAGGTTGCTGGACTCCTTCCCGGATTCAAGAAGGTGTCCTGTTTATTAGCGACGGTACCTGACCCCAGCGGAGCCATCTTACCACCTCGTGAAGAGCCGGTAAAGTCGTTGCTTCTCTATTTGAATCCCGCTTCCATTCTAATGACTAATTGTCCGCATTTTTGTTGATTTTCCTATCAGAGTTCGTCACTGCAAGTCGCTCAAGGATGGGTTGTTGGAACTCTGGACCTGAATCTAGGGCTTCGCTTACCTGGTGAAAACCTTTGTGGACAATATCCCAGTAAGGTGCTCATTTATCAGATTCTGGTGGGTCCAGACAGACCTTTAGGGACGCGTCATTCAACAGGTGAAGTGACTGACGGATTCTTTGTGTTCAGGGGTTGCGCATTGAGTCAAGAAGAGCCTATTTATCCAATGTTTGTGTGGCGCCGGCTGCCAGAAGACTTGGAGTTGCCTACAGATTGATGCAATCAGCTAAAGATCTTGCACAGAGTTGGGGTGAGTCAATGCTATCTTTCCAACCGCCTCTCTGCTTCTGTAGTTGAGCCTTTCTCAGAGGCCTTACAGAGCATGCTGCTGTTTGTGCTGCAGGTGTGGAGCATCTCTATGTTCATGTAGTTAAGAACAACGACCCTGCTCGACTGTTGTATCTCAAGTCTGGTTATGAAGTGGAGCAGGAAGAGAAGGCTAACGTTGCCAGATCCTTGGGTCGCCCTGCAAGGCTGCTGTTGCACCTTGATATCAGCTGAGCCAAATAATGCTGCAATCAGCAGTCAGCACACACCATGTTCACAACGTGGTTGGCCATTCTAGTACCTACAACTGTCTCAAGCAGGGTGATCCTAAGTCCTGACTCCTGTCCATGCGTTTGAAACATCCATCCAGTTGGTTATCGCAAGCTCCTCCTCCACCTGACCACTCCTGTGTACACTGCAGGTACAATTTTTGTCCCCCGCAAAACTCCATTTGTATGGTAGCATTTGAACAGAAACAGATTTGTACTTTGGTTGCATCTGCTGTACATTTACCATGCAGGTGGACTTACCAGCACCTCACAGGGGACGATGTATGTTTCGCATGACATCTCCATGGCTGTATACATTGTACATCTCCGAAGCTGTATCATACCATCACGTCTTCATGGCTGTTAGCTTGTGTCATCACCCTCTTCTCTAGGAGCAAGGTGGGCATGTAAGGCTTGCTCCGGGGCCCCATGCGACCAGAACGACTCCACATCTGAAGTCCTCATAAACGCAGGGCTGCCAGCATCCGCAGCACCTCCACCATTCAAATAGCCTTCCATGTCGATTCCTGAAACACCGAATCCAAACGGGGAGCTCACAGGACCCTGCAGGCATGGATCCCCTGGCGCCTGTCCAAACAGCCCTCCACCAGTCCCTGCAACTTCACTTCCCGGGCCCACGCCTCCTGCTCCTCCTGCTCCCAATCCACCCCCTCTGTCGGGGTATCCAAATGGGGCGGGAGAGGCAGACCTGGAAGGTGGGCCTAGTACCGCATCTCCAGGGGAAGCAGCAGAGAGCGGAGTTGCGGGGAAGAGGGCAAAGCCGCCGAAAGGAGATGAGAATAGCTCGGTGGAGGGGCGACGGGGAAGACAGTCAGTCCCAGGAGTACCAGAGATACCAGAAGAGAAGAGGTACTGGTCTCGTGGGGGTGACACCGCATCCCGTGCTCTAGGGGGTGCAATAACGCGTGGTGAGCGAGGAGAGGAGGGAGAGGTCTGGTGAAAGGATGGTCCGAGAAAGCCAGAGTGCGAGACAGAGGAGACAGTGGGCGGAGGGGAGCCCGTCAGAAAGCCTCGGTCCGAAAAGAAGAGGCTCGATGGGTGGGACATCCCGGAGGGATGCGGTGATGAGCCGAGAGATGCCAGGTGATCAAAATGGTTCCCCCATAAGTCGTACACTGCTGTTTCGTCATCACCTGGACCTGCCATCCCACCACCAGAACCACCTTCCAAGAATCCCCCCCGGCCTCCTAAAGCTGCACCCGCCCCTGTAGCCCCATCAGCAGCAGCAGGAGCAACAGCAGCAACAACGCCACCACCACCAGTCATCAACCCACCAAAGGCCCCCACTCCAGATGGCCCATCCTCTCTGCTACCACTCCTGGTAACCGCACGTATCGCCAGATCAGCAGTAGCTGCCAGCTCCCCCCTGCTCCCGCCGCTTCCCCCACTGCTACTGCCCCCATTGAGATAGCTCCCAACTCGACCACCAGGGCTCTGCGACCCCGGAACCTTCCAAGAATCAGCACCAGCAGCACCACCGCCACTGCTGGTGCTGCTGGTGCTGCCGATGGCAACAGGAGTGGAGGAAGAGGGGTGGCGCCGATGCACCAGAATTGGGTCTGAGCACGTGTTGACAAAGGAGGGTGTCTTGGGAATGGATGCGGTCCGGCCAGCTCCTCCTGCCCCTCCTCCTGGTGTTCCCCCTACTCCCGCAGGCAGCGGCGAGGAGAAGGACGCGGATATTGGCACGTGCCAGTTGTGAGGAACAGCTTCGCCAACTGATGTTGGCTGTGGTGGTGGTGGTGGTGGTGGTTTTGGTGCTGATTCTACAGGGGAGACAAACGGGTCCAGTGGTGGTGGTGGGGAGCGGGAGACGGAACGAGCAACTTGTCTGCCAGAGAGTAAACCCGCTGAGCTGGCTGGAGCAGCTGCTTTGCCCCTTCCAACAACCAAACCTGCTTTCTCTGTGCCAGCCTTCAGCCCAGATGCTCCTGCTGCTGGTAGCACAGACTCACGACCGGCCTTAGCATCTGAACCAAGCTTCTGCTGCATTGCCTGCTGCTCCTTCTGCTGCTGCAGCAGCAGGGCCCGCTTTCCTATCGCTACTGGCTTCGCACCAGCCAGAGCGAGATCGTTAGCTGAGACACCACCACTCGCTGCAGAAGTAGCACCAGCAGACGATACACCGTTGCTGACGGTGCTTTGGCCAGCTGATGGTGCTGGTGACGGCTGTCTGGGAGCACGAGGGGGGGAGGCCACAGCAGACCCCCTGACTCCTGCGGCATCCCTCCCCTTCCCTCCTCCACTGCTGTCTTTCCCCTTCCCTCCACCCCCTTCCCTTCCCTTTTCCCCAGAACCCTGCTTCTTCCCCCCACCACCTTCCTTTGTTGGGCTTTCTACAGGGGAGCCAACAGGAGAGCGAACAACAGGAGAGCCAGATACGGCTATGGCTGATGCAGGGGTCAGCTTCGGCTGATCCTTGCCTCTCTCCTTCCCCTCCTTCCCCTCCTTCCTGCTCTTCCCTTCCGCTGCCTGCTTCCCTCCACTCCTGATCGCATCCTCATGGCCAGCAGACATACCAGAATCTGTGCCCTCCTTCCCTTTGGCCCCATCAGGCTGGTCTCCTGCAACAACAGGAGCAGAAGAAGCAGCACCAGCACCAGCCCCAGCAGCGCCAGCAGTAGAAGCACCACCAGCAGAAGCAGCACTGGCAGCAGGCGCTGCAGTAGCAGGCTCACGTGTACCAGAAAGCCTTTTCTTCTTCTTTCCCGTCTCTACAACACCCTGCTTCTCAACCCCTCCCTGCTTTTCGACCCCTCCTTGCTTCTCAGAGCTACCTTGCTTTGACATTTTCTGGTCGCTACCACCAGCGCTGGCAGGTTTCTCACCCACCTTCCCCACACCATCACCTCCCGGCTTCTTCTCCTCCTTGGGATCCCCGCCCTTCTCCTCACGTTTCTTCTCTGAACTGCCACTCTCCTTCGAGCCCTTCTCCTTTGCCTTCTCTCTCCCTTCATCAGTCTCAGCAGACTTCTCCTTCTCCTTCTGTCTGAACTTCTTCCCCTCCTCCTTCTCCTCCTTCTGCCTCTTCTTTTCTTTCTCCGACTCAAGTTCCTTCTCCCGTCTTTCCTGTTCCTTCTCTTTCTCCTTCGCCTTAACTGACTCCCTCTCACGCTCAGCCTCCAATTCCGCCTCCTTTTTCTCCACCTTCTCCTTCTCCTTCTCCTTCTCCTTCACCTTCACCTTCTCCTTCTCCTTCTCCTTCACCTTCTCCTTCTCCTTCTCCCTCTCCCTCCCCATCTCCCTTTCCTTCTCCATCTCCCTCTCTCTCAACTTGTCCTCCTTACCCTTCTTCCCACGCTGCTTCCTCTCCTCCCCCTTGCCACCTCCCTCCTTCCCCCCTTTACCACCACCCGCCTTACTACACGCACCAGGAATCCACCCACCTTTCCCCTTCCCAGCCACCTCACTTCCACCGCCTCCCTCCATCACAGCAGCAGCAGACTGAACACTAGCCACAGCAACACCACCAGCACAACCAGCTGCAGCAGCAGTAACACCACCAGTGCCAGCAGCAGTGGCAGCAGCAGCAGCAGCCTCTCTTTGGCTGCTCTTATCCCTGCCTGACGGGACAGAGGCGGATTTGACAAACAGTGGAGCCAAAACAGGTGACCCTGATCCAGATGCTCCTCCTCCCGCCGTGCCCGCAACAGCAGGAGCAGAAGCCCCTGCTGCTGCTGCTTCTGCGCTCTTCCCTGCTGCTTTACCTGCTGCGGCTGCTGCTGCTGCTGCTGCTTTACTTCCTGCTGCTGCTGCTGTTGCTAACGGAATCTCGCTCTTACGATCAAGACCCAGCTGCTCCAGCTGCTCCTGCTGTTTCTGAGGCGCCGCATGAGCTGCTGCTGCTGCTGACTCAGGAATCTGGCCTGCGTGCTTCTTCCCATGCTCAATCGCCTGGGGAACATTCAGGACAGCCCTTGACGCCTGTTGACCAGATAGACTCACATGCTGCTGCTGCTGCTGCTGCTGCTCAAAGTGCTGCTTCCGCACTGCGAGGACCCTTTCCAACCCAAGCCCAATCTCCGCATCAGAAACACCACCATCCCCCCCATCAGCCCCATCTGTAACCTTCTCCACTCGGGTTACCACCCACGAAGGCCCAGAATCCCCCATGGAACCGTCCTGGCCCCTCACGTTAGACATCCCCACAACACCACTCACCCCTCCTCCACCCCCTTCTCCTCCCTGCCCTCTCCCCGCACTAATTGGTGCCACCGAGACTCGAACCCTGACCACCCGTGCTCTCGTCTCCGCATCTGCTGCAAAGCCTCCGCCTCCCACTCCCCCAACTCCTATTCCTGCAACCAATCCCACACCTCCCCCTCCCCCTGCCGCTCCCCCTCCGCCTGGCGCCCCTCCCCCTTCTCCCCCTGCAGCGGCAGCAGCAGCAGCAGCAGCAGCAGAGCTATGGAGCTGATTCGCCAGCAAAAGCGCGTTCTGCTTCTTCTGTAGCCTCCTAGTCAGCGCAGCCGCAGCAGCAGCAGAGAACCCAGGGAACCACGGGGAGGGGAACAGCGTTAGCTGTGACACCGTGGCTCGCACCAGCAGCCCAAACATGGCCACTAGCATCGACGCCACTACGGCTTTCATCACGGAATCCAGGGGGTGCCTTGGCTCCGCTTCTATCGCAACCATAGCGAGATTCCGCGGAATGTACCCTCGGATCGGCAGCTCGTACGGTCCAGCGGATGACTCTATATGGAGGACGGCTCGGACGACCGTGGATGTGAGATCAGGTGTGAAAGAGAGGAGAAGGGGTGTGGATTGGCCGGGAGCGATGGAGAACGGTTCGCATGGGTGAATCGAGAACCCGCGAAGGGAACACACGACCTTGCTCCTGCTCGCATGCAGGCTCATGCTCGCAATTTTCAAGGGTAAACTACCCCGGTTGACCAGCTTAAACCTCCGCTCGGCCACAACCGGCCACTTCACCCTCCCTACACTACTCTCCACTTCAGTCACATAGAACCTCGCATAAGCCCCCCCTGCCGCCCCCACCAGCCTCCTCCCCCGACGCTCCTTCACAAGCACATGCTCCTCAGTCACATTCACCATCAGTAGCATCTCCGCCCCTCGGCTCCCAGTCACGTGGAGCAACCCGGTTCCTCCGTCCCCCACCATCCTCACCTCTTCCAGCAGAGTCAGGTTGTTTCGCACATAGACTGATCCGTTCACAACACACCTGATTGCTCCCGGCCGGAAAACCACCGGCCCCAGCCGCCCCTCCCCTCCAGGAGGGAGAATCAGATCTACAACAGCCTCACGCGCCAAGGAAAAGGCTGCCCTGCTCTGCTCTCCCTCCCTGCTGACGCCTAGACGGAGCCAGGGAACCCCTAACTGAGACGCCCAGTGGAGGGTCCAGGGAGGCATGCCGGCAGCGGCTAGCCAGCGGGATGGGAGGAGAGGGGAGGGCGGAGGGGATTGTGGGTTCGGTGCTGGGCAGAACGGCGGGCCCTTTGCCTCCACCCCAGCGCAACCACTAGCGCTGCTGCCGCCGCTGCCGCTGCCGCCGCCGCTGCTGCTACTGCTACTACCGCTCTGGCCGCTGCTGCCACTAGCGCCATCACCACTACTGCCAACACGTTTCCCCGTGCTGCTGTCACGGCCACTGCCATTCCCACCATTCCCCTTCCCACAATCCGTAACTTCCGACGAACCATCCATCACCAGCCGCACCCGCACCGGGTAATCACTCGGGTTATGCACCAGAACCACCTCCCCCGCTGCAGTTCCCACCTGCACCCGTCCATACTGCAAGCTCGCCGAAGCTTCCCTGACCACCCGAGGCTTAGCCAGCACCCCCTTCACCTCTGCAGGCTCCGATACAGTCACCTCCGTTTCAAGAACCAAGGAGGATACAATCACATTTTCGCCTGCTCGGACCACTCGCGTCCACTCGTCCAGCCTCTCCTGCGCCGTTTCTCGCTCCTCTACAGTCACAGCTTCCCCCCACGGATCCTTCCCCTCGTTAGTGTCACATCCCAGGCTGCTGGCACCGCCTTGCAGTCTCCCCAACATTCGCCCCCACCTCTCACTCCTGTTATGAGCACCCCCGCTTGCAGTCACAAAGGTCTGGCTCAAGGGCATTGAAAACACCAGATCACCCAACTCAGTCTCACTAGACGGCTCCAGCACTGTAGCTTTAAGTTCCGCTGATACCCTAGAATCGGAAACCCTAATTCCGGTCACGGCAAGCGGATGGGGAAAGCTGCTGTTCGCTGTGAGCTTTATCCGATGTGTCTTTCCTGGAAACAGCGATGAGAACACAAGCGGAAGCTTCGGCGAAACTGCAACCTCGCCTCGAAACGACGCGAATTTGATATCAACCCTCACCACTTGATGCTTCGTTTCAAGCACTAGCAACTCCGAGCCTGCTCCTTCCGTTACAGGAGCAACGTCTACAGTCACTTCTGCAGTGTGATACTCTGGTATGGTGAACAGCCCGCAATTCTCGCATTCTAAAACCATTTCTTGGTCCGCAAGAGGGGTTTTAAGAACCAACGATGGCTTCGCAAGGCCAGCATTGACTGTACTCCCACTGTCGCTCTTACTGTTGCTGGTGTTACCGACGCCAGCGTTACCGTTACGCCTGCCATTGTTCCTCACTCCCGCTTCTCCTCCTCCTGACCCTCCTCCTGACCCCCCTCCTGCCCCTCCTGCCGCTCCTGCTGCATCCGCCCCTCCCGCCGTCCCATTTTTACCCGCACCTAATCTCCCCTCAAGAGATGACCTAGCACGTGCGTGCAGGTGTAACCTAACCGGGAGATGGAACACGTGATGCTGGGACGAGGGGAGGGCGGACGACAGCGAGACAGGCACAGGGGCGCGCCTTGCTTCCCGTTCCTCCATGTGGATAACGTTGCTGACGTGGACGGTGACGTGGCGGGAGGAGAACGAGGCTGACATGATGGCGATCGGGAAGGGGCCTGGATTAGCCAAGTGAAAGGAGATATTTCTTCTGGAACCGGGGAGAATCAACCCAAAGTCCAAAACCCCGTGACTGTTCCCCTCCTGCTGCTGCTCCCGCTGTTGCTGCTGCTGCTGCTGCTCCTCCTCCTCCCACTCCTCATACCGACCTTCAGACTGCACGCCTGCATCTTTCCCACCACGAAACTTTGTGCTATCACTCCCGTTCTTCCCCCCCCCCTCCTCCTCGTGGATGGTGGGGCCGGAACCACTCCTGCTGCCATCGGCAGCAACCGCTGCAACTGCTACTGATGCTGGTGCTGCTCCTGCTGCTGCTCCTGCTGCCGTTACTTCTGGTTTTATCACTGAGGCACCTGATGCTGCTCCTGATGCTGTTGCCAGAACTGCTGCCGCCGCTGACGGAACGTCCAACTCCAACAGACCAGGCAGCACGTGCAGGGGCACAACCACGTCACTCACGTTCGTCGCTATAGTGAAGTTCACTATAGTGAGGGAGAGAGGCAGTTTCTCTGAGTTCAGCTGCAGAGAGAACGGTTTGCTGGTTCCCCCGGGGCTAATCAGCGAGGAACGGAAATCCTCGGCTTGAATACAATCGTGCGAAAAAAACGCATCGTAAACCAGCACCGGGCAGGGGAATTTATTTCGCAGGACCATCTCCTTGGTCACCGCGGACCGGACAAACCCGATGTTTTCTCCCCCGAGCTGCCCGGCATATTCTTTTCCCTGCCCCGAAGAGTCTTTCGCCTGCCCTGAGGAGCTAATTTCCGTCTTTTGCCCCACTCCTGCCGCCCCTTGCTGGTTCTCTTTTCTGGGGGCTGCTGCGAAGAGAAAGACTGTATTCTCAACAGGCTCGACTGTCACGCTGCCAAGGACTATCCGCGCTTTAAACGGCACCTCTACAAGAAACGGGCTTGTTGACTGCGTTGCCTGCACCACTATCCGTCCCCTCCGGGTAAAACCCTCGTCCTCCTGTCCTCCCCCTCCTCCCCCTCCTCCCCCTCCCCCTCCTCCTCCTCCTCCTCCTCCTCCTCCTCCTCCTCCTCTTCCTCCTTCCTCCCCTCCGCCCACTCCCCCAGATTTCCCGCTTAAACCACCCGGGGGAGACCACCCATACCCAGCATACTTAAGCTCTGCAACTTGCACAACCTTCCCGGGCGGCAGCTGCTGCCCTTTGCGAAACCGGGCAGCCTGCAAATATTCGTCCTTGACCGCGAGCCGAACGTCGTCTACAGCCGCCATGCTGCTGCCCACGTTCCCCAGCTCCACGTGGCGGATCACCGTGTCCCGCGCTGACGTCAGCGTGCCGAAGTCGATCTCATCCGCCATTGACACGACGCCACCTGGCGACGTCGTCAGGTCGATCGGCAGCAGGAGATACTCGCAGTCGCAATCCGCATGCGCCTCGACTTTAAGAAAGATACTTAGCGAAAGCCGCCCCACGTCCCCATGAACCGCTTCAATCACCAACACCTCCTCCGTTCCTCCTGGCTTCACTATAATATCACTCCCTATAGCGTCACGTAGGTACGACCACGTGTCATCTTCCATTCCCAGCTCCACCCCTCCCACCGTTATTTTCACCTCGCTTCTAGAACCGGGCGGGAGCTCCATTGGGCCGTCCTCCCCCGCTATGAACACATCCACTTTCGTCTGCACGTCGGTGATTGTAACGGGCCATGGCATTGTATTCTGCATCCAAACAGGGTGTATGATCCGCTGCCCGGGCAACGTTCTTAAACTCGTTCTCGGTTCCAAACTAAACGGGGATGGGAGGCCGTAACCGAACAGCGGAACTACGATCGGTCCTGCGCTAGTCTCGACCGTCAGATTCCCGTCGATGGTTCCAAGTGCCCGGGGCAGGAAAAAAAGGCTGATGAAACTAGCCGATCGCGGCTGGATAACGAACTCGTCGAAACTCGCCATGTAGCTCGCCATATAGAAATCGAACGAGCTGCTTGTAGCGGATTCGATAACCAGCTCCCTATGATGCGACAGGTTGATAATCCACAGCGTGTGCGGCGTGGTCGTGCACGCGTACCGAGCACCCCACGACAGCAGCGTAGGGAACGTCCTAACCCCTCCTGGGAGCTCCCAAAGCGACGGCGTATTTAAATCCGCTTCGAACATCGCCAGCGCACCTTCCGGCGCGTTCGGCGGCAGGCTGATGTCCCCTAGCCTAGGATAGCTAGGATCGCTTTGCCTAGGGTGGCTAGAATCACTTAGCCTCGCCGAAGGCCCCCCGGTATTATCACCAGCTGCGGGTGCTGCGGGTTTCTGCCGGCCTTTTAATCTCCCCTTCGATCGCCGCGGCTTTTTGTCTCTTAGACCGGTATCTACGGTAAATGAGTCTCTCGGACTGGCGTCGGTGCTATGCGGTGTTTTCGGGTCTAAGGAGGGATCCGGGGAATGGGCGCCTCCAATTGGCTGCAATGGCGGTGGCGGTGAGGACTGTCGTATGTGCAGCGAAGCTTCCGTTCGCGAATCCCTTCGCGAATCCATCCCAGCCTTCGCGGCGAAAGTCGCGGAAGCAGAGCCGGAGAAAGCGAAGCTATTGATGCTCGGGCGACCTGCTTTCGACGAATCTCGTGCGTAGGTTGCTGCTTCGGATAGGGAAATCTGACGGTCATGGTCGGCCCGGAGCGCACCAGTCAGGAAGAAAAATATCACGAACAGGAGAAACTGACCGAGTCGGGAAATGGGTCCAATGGATGAAGTGCGTGGATGCGTGGAGGACCTAAAGTGGAGGGGAAACATGGAGGGGGGATGATTGAACACAGAAAGAGATGAAAGAAGGTGAAACAGAAGAGGGCATAGCCCATGAAGAAAAAAAAATAGAAGTGGCGTCTTAAAATCAGACTTCTCTATAGGGGTAGCGTGGCAGAAAGGAAGAGGGGAAGCATCATCCGAAGCTCTTTAGTGCAACCTTACCTGTATCGTAGGGTCGCCATAGTAATGCGGTACAGTAGAATCCTAAAACAAGAAAAGGACGGGCCTATTGGGGTTTGGTCATCTATCGCAAGACCTGGAACTAAATAAGGCCTGAAAGAGACGCAAGCTACTGTCTGCAAGAGATTCTCGCAAGATTCAGCAGACACAAGATTCTAGGGCAACGAGGATATGGCGCCCTAAGCCAATGAACCTGGAGGGATAGGAGAGGCCAGAGGAGAGAGGGTTGGAGAGGGAGTGGAGGCCCTGCGAATGGAAGTGCATGTCCAACTCGTATGTTTTCCTGTTCGTGTACCACGTTTCAGTAGGGTACCACAAAATTTAGAGCGGTAAATTAAGTTTCCACACGGTATAAAACCTTTTTCCGGGAGAGAGGGGAGAGCGGGGAAGCAAGGGTTTGGGGAACGCGGGGACGGCAGCAGACGAGGAAAGGTGAGGCGAAGTGTGGGGCGGGTGGCGTGTGGTGTGGTGCGCTTGCCTTTTCCGCACGCCACGTTGGGAAGCACGCGGAGCTGGTGGCGGGGGAAGAGAGGTGGGTGGGTTCTGTGAAATGAGAGAGAACTGTGGTTGGCCAAGACGGGCAGGTTGAAGCGATCGGCCAGGCTGGGGTTTAGCGAATCGTTGCTTAAGCTTGGTTTAATGTAGTTCGATAATTGGCCTTGATGTGTATGGTGCCAATTATCGCCTGTCGGACGAACGAGACTGAAGTGCCTACACAAAACTTTGAAGGATGCCACAGGCGAGGCGGAATGAGGGGACAATTGAGGTTAGGGACACTTTGCTGGACCCTGGAAAGAAAGCCATTGGATTAAAAAATTAGAGGCGTTGGAGAGCCGTCGATGCCGCGTTATGGCTGCCTGCCTGCCAAGTTCGTCCATGATTGCAGTTGATTGGATGGGCTCAGGCCGAAACTCATGGAGGCGCATCAAGCCAAAGCCAATTTGCAGCAAGACCATCATTCGAGACAAAACTCAACTTATCCCAAGGTTTAGAAGACGAACACTCGAAATCTTCACACAATAACTGTATAGTTTTATCATCAGAAGTACAGTGTTTCGCCCTGGGCTGAATTGCATAGAATTTCCCGCCCTGCATGCTGCTTTTCCCTGTCTGCTGACGACTTTTGAAGTCGCCAGACATGCCCGCCAATTGCCGAGCTTCGAAGTCAGGTCTTCCATACATCGTGACGAGGAGGCAGAGTCAGAAAACCGCACCAACCTTGGAGGCTCCACAAGGGGAGACCTGAAGCTCGGGCTGCTCTCGGGTTTATCAAGCCAACCACAGGTGTCCATCTCAGCAAAAAAAAAAACCCAAAAAAAATCCAAACAAGCTTGGTCCGGGATCGCTTAAGGCTGTTATTAGGTCAGGCAGCTAGGTTTGAGGCTCGGACGTACCGCCATACCTGGTTTTTCACGACGCCAGATTCAAACTTCCAAGCGACCTCGAGATTTCCCACCTGACAGTTGCACCAGCGACCTCCAGTTTCTCCAACTCTGAAAGCGGGCTAGCACGTTTGATTACGGTGCAGCAACGTGCCTTGCGTTTCAAAACGGTCAAATAGTAAACTACAATGGTTAGGTAGGGTATTAGCAAAAACGTACTTTTTGGACCCGCCCTGACTACTCCTTTCAGGGTTCAGTTCAGAAACGCAAAATCTAACAAGCCTTCGAGCCATTTCATAGCTTGCCTTCCTCTATTCCTTAGGCTGGCTTAGGCTGGAAGAACTTACTGCGTTCCGACTCCTGATAAACTGGAAGGTTAGTGGCGCTCTTACTTCCAGATGTGCTCACCTCCGCAGCGTCAATCTAGTCGTTATAGTCTGCACTCAGCAGTTTCATTTCAAGTTAGTTCCGGCATTTGACCATAATATATTATAGAGAAATGGCGCGTCCAGGAGATAACATAGAGAAATGGCTCGCAGCTGCACAAGACAAGCAATCTCCGAGTAACCCTGGCTCAACTGAACGGCCAACAGCAGCTACTACAAGCTCCTTACGTAACTTATCATCCTCTTTCAACCGAACCTCGTCCAACCCCGAACCTGCTTCCGCCAGCGGAGCTAACTCGGGGAAGGATTCGAAGCTTTCGAGCTCATTGACCCAGCAGCTGGAATCACGTTCAGTATTGCCTCCCGCTCCTTCTTCCGAACCAAGAAACCGAACCTACGGCAGCAGGCTCGGGGGTGACTTTTCGCCAGCCGACAACTCCTCCTATAGTGCGAGTATCAGGGAGAATATCACATTCGCTAGAGGCGCGGACTCTAATCGCGGTGACGTGGCGCCTGCGGAGCGCTTCACCCAGCCAACTCGCGCTGACGTGGCACCTCCGACTACCACAGGCGGCTCATACATGTCGTCCAGCAACCAAACCTATACCAGTACCGGAGCGGCTTCTGGCGGGAAAATCTCCAGCAGCGGCGGTGGTAAAATCTCCGGTAGTGTCAGTTTAGGAGGTGGTAATGGTAATGGGATCGGTGCTAATGGCATCGGTAGGAGTCCGTCGGGTACTTATTTCTCAGCTACTGCTCTCTCGAATCGCTCTCAGGGCAACGGAAGTCCCCGCAACTCGGGCGAGAACGAGAAGCTGTACGAGGCTTATAACGAGCTGCACCGCTTAGCGCAGCACTTTCAGAAGCCGTTCGATGCGCCAGCTGTGCTGATCGTTGGGCATCAGACGGACGGCAAGAGCGCGCTGGTCGAGGCGCTGATGGGGTTTCAGTTTAACCACGTGGGTGGGGGAACTAAGACGCGTCGGCCAATCACGCTTCAGATGAAGTATAATCCTGCGTGCGAGGAACCGCGGTGCTTCTTAGTTCTGGATAAGGACCATACTAGCGAACAGGAGAAGTCCCTTCAGCAGCTGCAGGTACGCCAGACTATCCTATTTACGTGTTTTTCCGGCATCCCTATTTAAGTGTTTTTTTTTTTTTTCGGAACAAGTGGTAGGTGGATGGATGTGGATATTCTGCCAGCGAGGGCATGCTGACGGCGGCTAATGTTACGTTTCGGGTGTCGTTGTGACTGTAACGGTACAGGCTTATATCGAGAGCGAGAACCAGCGGCTGGAGAAGGACATGGGGCGGTTCTCGGATCGCGAGGTGGTGGTGCGCGTGGAGTACAAGTACTGCCCCAACCTCACCATCATTGACACTCCGGGACTTATATCCGCCGCTCCGTCTGTAACTCACACGGCGCTGCAGGTGAGGATGCTGGTTGCTCGGACAGGTGTTGAATCCAGGTAGGGTGGTGGTGCGCGTGGAGTACAAGTACTGGCCCAACCTCACCATCATTGACACTCCAGGACTTATATCCGCCGCTCCGTCTGTAACTCACACGGCGCTGCAGGTGAGGGTGTTGGTTGCTCGGACAGGTGTTGAATCCAGGTAGGGTGGTGGTGCGCGTGGAGTACAAGTACTGGCCCAACCTCACCATCATTGACACTCCAGGACTTATATCCGCCGCTCCGTCTGTAACTCACACGGCGCTGCAGGTGAGGGTGTTGGTTGCTCGGGCAGGTGTTGAATCCAGGTAGGGTGGTGGTGCGCGTGGAGTACAAGTACTGGCCCAACCTCACCATCATTGACACTCCAGGACTTATATCCGCCGCTCCGTCTGTAACTCACACGGCGCTGCAGGTGAGGGTGTTGGTTGCTCGGGCAGGTGTTGAATCCAGGTAGGGTGGTGGTGCGCGTGGAGTACAAGTACTGGCCCAACCTCACCATCATTGACACTCCAGGACTTATATCCGCCGCTCCGTCTGTAACTCACACGGCGCTGCAGGTGAGGGTGTTGGTTGCTCGGACAGGTGTTGAATCCAGGTAGGGTGGTGGTGCGCGTGGAGTACAAGTACTGGCCCAACCTCACCATCATTGACACTCCAGGACTTATATCCGCCGCTCCGTCTGTAACTCACACGGCGCTGCAGGTGAGGGTGTTGGTTGCTCGGACAGGTGTTGAATCCAGGTAGGGTGGTGGTGCGCGTGGAGTACAAGTACTGGCCCAACCTCACCATCATTGACACTCCAGGACTTATATCCGCCGCTCCGTCTGTAACTCACACGGCGCTGCAGGTGAGGGTGTTGGTTGCTCGGGCAGGTGTTGAATCCAGGTAGGGTGGTGGTGCGCGTGGAGTACAAGTACTGGCCCAACCTCACCATCATTGACACTCCAGGACTTATATCCGCCGCTCCGTCTGTAACTCACACGGCGCTGCAGGTGAGGGTGTTGGTTGCTCGGGCAGGTGTTGAATCCAGGTAGGGTGGTGGTGCGCGTGGAGTACAAGTACTGGCCCAACCTCACCATCATTGACACTCCAGGACTTATATCCGCCGCTCCGTCTGTAACTCACACGGCGTTGCAGGTGAGGGTGTTGGTTGCTCGGGCAGGTGTTGAATCCAGGTAGGGTGGTGGTGCGCGTGGAGTACAAGTACTGGCCCAACCTCACCATCATTGACACTCCAGGACTTATATCCGCCGCTCCGTCTGTAACTCACACGGCGCTGCAGGTGAGGGTGTTGGTTGCTCGGGCAGGTGTTGAATCCAGGTAGGGTGGTGGTGCGCGTGGAGTACAAGTACTGCCCCAACCTCACGATTATAGATACGCCTGAGCTCATCTCTGCTGCTCCCTCGGTCCCGCACACAGCGTTACAGGTGAGGGTGTTGGCTGGTTGGTGCACCGATTTACTGCCATTGGCCGCAGGTAGGTCTCTGGCGCGCGTGGAGTACAAGTACTGCCCCAACCTCACGATTATAGATACGCCTGAGCTCATCTCTGCTGCTCCCTCGGTCCCGCACACAGCGTTACAGGTGAGGGTGTTGGCTGGTTGGTGCACCGATTTACTGCCATTGGCCGCAGGTAGGTCTCTGGCGCGCGTGGAGTACAAGTACTGGCCCAACCTCACCATTATTGACACTCCGGGACTTATATCCGCCGCTCCGTCTGTAACTCACACAGCGCTGCAGGTGAGGATGCTGGTTGGTTGGTAAAGTGGTACTATCATCGCTGTGGTGCGCGTGGAGTACAATTACTGCCCCAACCTCACTATTATTGAAACGCCTGGGCTGATCTCCCCCTCTGTCACGCACTCAGCGCTGCAGGTGGGTCAGAATGCGTATGTGAATCTGTTGCGTTGGTGGGCTCTTTAAGTAGGTAGCTGTGGTGCGCGTGGAGTACAAGTACCGCCCCAACCTCACCATCATCGGCACGCCTGGGCTCATCTCCGGTGCTCCGTCTGTCACGCGCACGGTGGTTCAGGTGCCTGGGCCACCATCGCGTCTCCCTGCCCTTTATCCCTCTCCTTACATTACGAGCGAGACCGAATCTTGGATGCGCTGGTTCTAGCCAAGACGAAGCAGCAGGAGTTTATTACCCTGTGCCTCGGCGACAGCCCCCACCGATGTTTCTTCCCTCGGGAACAATCTCTGTCTTTTTCCATGCCCCCCTCATCGTCAGGAGCAAGCCCGTATCGTTGAGGCGCTGGTCCTGGCGAAGATGAAGCAGTAGGAGTTTGTGATCCTGTGCTTAGAGGACAGCAGCGACTGGAGCAACGCCACCACCAGGCGGATAGTCATGAAGGTCGACCCAGACCTCTCGCGCACCATCTCTCGCTCTCCCAACCTTCTCCCTCCCGCTCTTGATTTCGCTCCCACCACTCCCTCCCCCCCACAGGAGCAAGCCCGAATCGTGGAGGCGCTGGTGCTAGCGAAGATGAAGCAGCAGGAGTTTGTGATCCTGTGCTTAGAGGACAGCAGCGACTGGAGCAACGCCACGACACGAAGAATCGTCATGAAGGTCGACCCGGACCTCTCCCGCACCATCCTCGTGTCAACCAAGCTTGACACGCGCATCCCACAGTTCTCCCGGGCAGCCGACGTCGAAATGTTTCTCAACCCGCCGCTGCCCGATATCTCGGCGTCGCGCCTGGCGACGCGGCCGTTTTTCACGTCGGTGCCGTCGGGGCGAGTGGGGACGGGGTCGGACGCGGTTTTTATGACGGATGATGACTTCAGAGATGTGAGTGGGGGGGAGGGGGGGGGAGAGGAGGGGAGGAAGAAGGGGTTGGACTTTGCCTCTTGGCCTAGGGACGAGTGGGGACGGGGTCAGACGCGGTTCTCATGACGGATGATGGAGAGGGGGGGCGATGGGGAATGAGGACGAGTGGGATGCACGATGACTTGGGATGTGAGTGGGGGGATGGGGAGAGGAGGGGACGACAAAGGAGGGAGGGAGGGGGGGAGGTGAAGGGAAAGGGGAGAGGCAAGGGTGAAGGGTCGGGGAAATGAGAACAGCGTCTGTCTCTGCGTCGTTCTTGTCTGTTATGCTTGATTGTTGCCGCGTTAACTTGACTCTGGTAGACTCGAATTGACTTGCCACTCTGCAGGCCGTGGCTAGGAGAGAGATGAGCGACATTGCAGCGCTAGAGGACAAAATGGGCCGCCCACTTTCGGATGATGAGCGAGCAAGGGTCGGGGTTAGCCGCCTTCGTCTCTTCTTGGAGCAAATGCTGCAGCAACGGTACTCCCTCTATCTACCCCTCCCACCCACCCTCCCCCCTCCCTCTCTTTTCCCCTTCCCCTCCTGTTGCCCTCAGTTCTCTTTTTGTTGCCTCTTCCCCACTCCTTGTGCTCTTCTGCTTCCCTATCCCCCTACACCCAGCGCGTTATTTACATCAATGCTTGGGGGATACAATACAGCACAGCAACTAACAGACATCTATCCCCCCTTGCTTCCTCCCATGCCCTCCCCTTCCTTCCAGTTACCTCGAGAGCGTACCCTATATAGTACCGCTCCTCGATAAGGAATATAAGTCCGTCTCCACCAAGCTCTCTGCCACCTCTGCGGAGCTACAGTAAGCAGCACACCTCGCTGGGTTTAATCATAATGATCTTTGCCTCTTTCCCGCCTCCTTTTCGTCTCCTCCTTCCTTTCACTTCACCAGACCAAACCTTTTTTTTCCCCTTTTTTTCTTGACCTGCCCCAGAAATCTGAGTGACGGGGAGCTGCGAGAGAAGAGCCGAAACTTTCGAGATAACTTCGTTCGTAAGGTGGGTGCTTGGTGATCAATGTTGGTGCTTGGCGCTTCTTGCGGAGCTGTGTCGTATCACTCATTGCAGTACATACTTGCCCCCCGTATCACATGTAACGAGTGACAATCTACATGTGATATAACAATTTTTCTTTACATATCACGTGTAACCCCGGTATGCCCCCCGACATGTTTCTGTGCCACCCCCTTCAGCTCACGGTCCTGGTCCGTGGCTCCATTGCTGCTCCACCCGACGACATGGTGCCCCTTGGCGAGGCGAGCTAGTCATTGAGTAACACCTGTACCACATGTGCCTCCCGTTCCTGCTTCTCCTTCTGTGCCGCCCCCTTCAGCTCACAGTCCTGGTCCTTGACTCCATGGCCGCTCCACCCGACCACATAGCCCCTCTTGGCGAGCTAGTCATTGAATAACACCTGTACCACATGTGCCTCCCGTTCCTGCTTCTCTTTCTGCTCCGCCCCCTTCAGCTCACAGTCCTGCTCCGTGGCTCCATTGCCGCTCCACCTGACAAATTCGGTGAGTTAAAGCCCCTCTTTTCGGATAAATATTCTCACTCGTTCTCCTGTCTTCGCACTCGTTCTCCCCTCTTTGCGGCTCTCGGCGTTAATTTCTCCACGTCAAGCCACCCTTATCTAGTTTCCTCCCCTGTGTCTGAACCACTCTATTGACCCCCCCCTGTAAAAAATCTCGACCTTGCCTACAGCCCAACCCTCTCTGCTCCCCTCCCCTGCACCCACCGGGCGAGACCCTACAGGAGGAGAGGGCCCCAGGAGGGAAAGTTGTGGGCAAATTACATGCTTCCCCAACATGCTTCCCAACATGCTTCCCACTCTTGCCGCCTGATGTGCCCCTCTGCTGCACTCCTCTCTGTTCTTTCTGCGGTGATCCCCTCCCCTCCCCTCCTGCCCACCAGGCGAGACCCTACAGGAGGAGAGGGCACGTGGCGGGATATTTGTGGGGTCCGATGGGCAGCAGTTTCCCCAGAGACACATGCCGGTGAGTGCGTCCCCTCGTTACTGTCACATGTTGTTGTGGGCAGCAGCTTTCTAAGAGCCACATGCCAGTGAGTGCGTCCCCTCGTTGCTGTCAACCCTGTCTTTAGTGTCATTGACTATTCAACCGATCCTTTTTGGGTTTTCGTGGGTTCCGAGCAGTGGCCCTCTCTGTTCCCCTGAGCCTTGCGCCTGCCTTGCACCTGCCGTGCGCCTGCCGTGCGCCTGCCTTGCCGTGCGCCTGCCTTGCCGTGCGCCTGCCCTGCCGTGCGCCTGCCTTGCCGTGCGCTTGCCTGCGCCCTCGACGTTCCAACAGAATGCAAGCATGCCTGTCTTTGGAGGGGTGCAGTACCATCAAGTTGCTTATCCTTCTGTCTTCGCACCTCTCCTCTCCTCTCCTCACCTCTCCTCTCCTCTCCTCACCTCGCCTCGCCTCGCCTCTCCTCTCCTCCTCGTCTCTCCTCTCCTCACCTCTCCTCTCCTCGCCTCTCCTCTCCTCACCTCTCCTCTCCTCTCCTCTCCTCACCTCTCCTCTCCTCACCTCTCCTCTCCTCTCCTCACCTCTCCTCTCCTCGCCTCTCCTCTCCTCTCCTCACCTCTCCTCTCCTCGCCTCTCCTCGCCTCGCCTCTCCTCACCTCGCCTCGCCTCGCCTCTCCTCTCCTCACCTCTCCCAACCACTTCCACCCTCCCCACCAGAACGCCAGCATGCGTCTGTTTGGAGGGGCGCAGTACCACAGGGCGATGGCGGAATTCCGGTTTGTGGTGGGTGCAGTGCGGTGCCCTGCGATATCGAGGGAGGAGATTGTGAACGCTTGTGGAGTGGAGGACGTGCATGACGGCACTAACTACTTCAGGTGAGGGGGGGGGAGAACTGACAGGTATCATACAGGGGTTGTTGGGGGTGCAGTGCGGTGCCCCAGTGGGGAGCCCGTGAATGCGTGTGGAGTGGAGGGCGTGCATGACGGCACCAACTACTGGAGGTGTGTTCATGCGGTTTGGTTGGTTCTTTCAGGGTAACTTAGAAGTTTACCTCTTGGGGTAATGGCGTGGTTGGCATTGCTGGGATGTACCAGCCAAACCGCCTAGTAAACATGCCATTCCCCATGCCATGTAAACCGCCGAGTGAACATGATGTGATAATGAAGTGGCTTTTATCAATCAGCTCGTCCCTTTCTCCCTTGTTTCTTTCTCCTTTTTTTGCCCCTGCAGGACCGCATGTGTGATTGCTGTTGCCAAGGCGTGGGACGTCTTTGAGCCATTCCTGCGACAGGTATGCCATTCCTGCGTCTTTGAGCTTTTCATCTAGCAGTCTTCCCTGCCGTTTATGATGTGTCATAAGGTCTGCTGCCCATCCACCATATCTCCCCTTCTTTTTTTTTTCTTATCTTCCTTCCTTCTCCCTTCTCCATCAGCTCGGGTGTTGTGTGACATTGTAACGAGGTGACTTTTGAGTCGACTCAAAAGCAGTTTTCTTCCCTCCTGCTCCCTTCTCCATCAGCTCGGGTTCCGCCTGTCGCACATTGTGGGGCGGCTTCTGCCCATCGTACTCTTCCTGCTCAAGGTGAGTCGTAAGGTGGTGCATGTTAAAGGGAGCTGTCTGTCTGTCCTCTTAAGAGCACTCTTAAGAGCACTTCTTTGAGCCGACTCAAAACTGCCTGTCGCACATTGTGGGGCGGCTTCTGCCCATCGTACTCTTTCCTGCTCAAGGTGAGTTGCATCGCATGGCTTGTTAAGTTCTGAGACGCCTCAAATGCACGTTGGGGGCGGACTGCAGCCAATAGTGCTCTTTCTGCTCCAAGGTGAGGCGTAAGGTGGTGCTTGTAAAGTTTTGAGAAGGCTCAAATGCACGTTGTTGGGCGACTGCTGCCCACCGCACATACTCTTCTTGCTCAAGGTGGGTCATCATGGGGCTTTTTATGGGGACGACTTTTGAGGGGCCTCAGAATACATGCTGGTGCGACTGCTGCCTATAGTCCTATAACTATCTTACGGATATTCCTCCTCGTGGTGAGGCATAAGGTGGCGCTTCTTCAGCATAACTGTCGAGTTTTACGTGAGGAGTCTATTTTTGAGGCGCCTCAAAAGGTGGCGCTTCTTCAGCATCACTGTCTAATTTTGCGAGGATTCAAGCTACATTGCGCGGCGGCTCCTGCCGATAGTTTCTCCTTTTCAAGGTGAGTGGACTTGAACAACATTGTCCACCTACTGTCTTAAGGAGAATCATATATCTATCGTACGGACGACCATATAACTATCGTTAGGAAATTCATATATTAACTGTAAGGAGACTCATATCACCAAAAAGGGTCTCTTTTCTAGCACCTCTGCGCCTCTTGATGGCTGCACGCCCTCCCACCCGTCGGTGATTTTTGAGTCGACTCAAGAATCGCCTCTTGATGGCTGCACACCCTCCCACCCCTCAGAGGAACAACAAGCCAGTACTGGTGCACCGACCGTTTCTAGTGCGAGTACAAGTTTACTCAAGATCAACTCCTTTCTCCTCTCTCTCCCCATGTGATCCCACCCACGTCCAGAGGGACAACGAGCCGATGCTGGTGCATGAGACGTTTATCGAGCGCGTGCAGGAATCGTACCATAAGTTTGTGGACTCCACTGAGCGATCCTGCATTGACAGGTGAGAAAAAGAGAGGGGCCTTAGAGTTTGAGAGAGGGAGCAGGGTTGGATAGAGGATGCAGGAGCGAGGGGATCAGCCTAAGAGGGGGGCGCAGGAGTCACAGCTCAGGTTTGTGGACGCCACTGAGCGATCGTGCATTGACAAGCGAGGGATACAGGTTGTTGGGTGTCAAGGGATTGTGGAGGAGTGAGAGGGGTATACGAGTGAGAGACGGTTGACTGCGCGAGAGCTAGGAGTCGTTCCACTAGCTCTCTTTCGTGTACGTCCTTCCCCCCCTGCTGCAGCCCACTTCCTCCCCTTGCTTCCCTACATGTTTCCATCGTTCCTACCCGGCCTTGTGCTGCTGCCTCCGATTAGGTGCATGGATGAGGACCTCACCAGCACCACCACCTCCCCCGGATCCGCTCTTTCCATAGACTCACCTCCCCTTTGCCGCTCACTCCGTGCCATGCAGGTGCATGGAGGATCTCACCAGCACCACCCGCTTTGTCACGTGGTCATTGCACAACAGGGTATGTAGTCTCCACACTACAGTAGTGCACTGTTTTTGAGACTTGACTCGTAATAAATAGCCTGCCGTTTGAATGCGTGTCACACCCAACCCAACAGGGTAGAAGCTCTCACTCCAACCTTCAATCTTCCCTCCTCCCTGCTCCCCTTCTTGTTCACACACAGCCCCCCCTACCCACACCACCACCTCCCTTCTACTTTACCCCTACCCTACCTCGCCCCCAACCCCCCCATCCCTTCCGTCCCACTTTTCCAGTCCCATTGTCATTCTTCGACTCTGCCATGCCAAGCAATGGCTCCTCCCTGCTCCCTGCTCACTCCAAACCCTATATCTATCTCAAACCAACCCCCCCCCGGCCCCCACCCCCTCCCCTCCCCTGCTCGGTGCTCCCGCCTAGGTCCTACACGTTTCCTCTCTCACCCCCCTGTACTCTCCCTTCCCTTACCCCCATGCCAACAGTCTCGCTCCGCCCTGCGCTCGTTCTTCGACTCCGCAATGCCCAGCAACGACTCCTCCCTGCTCGCTGCTGTGGGAGCCTTCGAAGCCGCCACCCCAATGCCGGTCCCCACTGCCACAAGCAGACAAAACTCTCCGCCCTTTGGGCCGACAGACTACCAGTCGAGCCCCAGCGATGACGGCAGGGGGGAGCGAGGCGGAGGGGGTACAACGGGACGATCCGCTGCAGCTGGTTCTGCTGCGGCTGGTGCCGCTAGTGGTGCTGCTGCTGGTGCTGCTGGTGGTAGCAGCGGCACTGGCGGTCGGTTAGCCGATCTGCTCGAATCAACCCTGTGGACGCGGCGGCTGGCTCCATCTTCCGAAGACATAGTGAACGCGCTGGTGATGCAGATCTTCGAAGGGATTAGAGATCACTTTGTCATGGCGGCTGAGTTAAAGTTCAACTGCTTCTTCCTCATGCCTCTGATGGACCGCTTCCCTGCAAGGCTCAGGGAGGACCTGGAGGCTGTGGCCGGGGGGGGCTTGGACGCCGTGTTTGACATCTCGAGGGTTCGAGGGCAGCTTGAGAGGAGCCGGGGGGAGCTGGATGAGGAGCTGAGGCGGGTGAGTAGGGGCTGGTGGGTGGGTGGGGTTTGCTGAGTGGGTTGACGAGTGAGATGGTTGGGTGGGTGGAGGGGTGTTGGGTGTGTGTACGTGGATACGAGTCCGTCGAGGGTCGGGACCAGTTTTGGGAAGCAACGTTTAGAAATGTGCAACGGATGCCTGCCTGGTGATGTGAGACCTGGATGAGGATTTGCCATGCCGGAGTGAGGCTGTAGATGACAGAGTATCCATCATAGTCGCATCATCATCATCACCATCATCATCCACATAATCCATATTTTCTTCCTTCTTTTTGTACTTGCTTGCTCGTTCAGGTGCATGCACTTCAGGCCAAGTTTGCCAGTATTCATCACAGCCTCAGCTTGATTCCATCCAATGCCACGTCAGCATCGCCATCAGGATTTTTTTTCAACTCCAACCTCTCCGGAGGATCATCATTTTCCTCCTTAACATCAACAGCAGCTGCACTCCCTCCCCGCCGCTTTGCGGAATCCCTTGCCTCAGTGTTTGAGGCACAAGGCCTGTGAACGCAGAACTTTCGATGAGGATAGCGAGAGTGGTTGAAAGCATACATTCATGCTTTGGCTTTTGTGTGCATTTTGTGAGTGAACAACGGATGATGTGCAAAAATGCACGCCATCTTGGCTTTTTTGCCCGTATTAATTGTTTTTGTATGGATTGGATGTGAAAAGTTATGTGCAACGTTAAGCGAAGATTTCTCTTATCGAGCCCTGACGAGTTTCCCCCCAGCTAGCACAGCCCCTTGGGAACTCCATTCTGCATGCACGTGGCACATGTCATACCATACTCACCAGAGCCGTCACAGAAATTCAAGAAATCTGCAGGAGTCAGAAGCTCAGGAGGAGTCGTGAGTCAGGGATGTCGCTGGCAGCCGCAGCCTGGTCCGTCCGTTCAACAGCCATACGTGGCGTCGCATTCCATCCCATGGCCTCTCAATTCCATGGTCGGGTTGACGTGAATTAGATTTCAGTCCCCCCCGTGTCCCCCCGTGAAACCCCGTGTCCCCCCATGTCCCATGGCCTCTCATCTCCCTCCAAACCTCCAACATTGGACAAACATGGACCACTTATTATCAACCACCATCCACCACCACACATCGACAAGCATGGCTTAGACCACCAACCAATACGGGCCACTCGGTTTAGACCGCCTCGATATATCTCGCCAGACCGTCCCGAAGCCGTCGAACCGAATCTCAGGGCGATCGTAGGGTACTTTTTCTCGGCTCTAGAGCCTTAAGGTCGCACGTCTTGCGAACCGTAGCTGAGGGAAAGCAGTAGTAGCTGCTGGTCGCATCGTCTGTCGATTGTGAGCCGGTCAGCATGGGAGCGGGACAGTCAACGGAAGACATTGACCAGCTGAAAAGGTGCGTCGTGACTGCGCTGTTTCTCCGTTTCTTATTCATGGGTCATGAATGGTGAGGCGCATGATGAATCATGGGAACTGGACAGTCAGCGGAACACATTGACCGACTGAAAAGGCCCGGCGTGACTGTTTCTGCTTCTGTTTCTCACCTCTGATCGTCATCTTTATGCTTGACTCATGTTTCTTGCTAGATTGATTCGTCATTTATGCTGGATTGATTGACGCTTCATGAATCATGGGAGCGGGACAGTCAACGGAAGACATAGACCACCTGAAAAAAGGTCCTTCAGTCATGGTTGCGTTGTTCCTCTCCTCACCACTGAGTCAGTGCATGTGCTTCATTGTGAAACTCCTGCTGCAGGTACTTTTTAAGATGAAAGTTGATCAAAGATTGCCATTCTTTATCATTTTTCTTTCGCATCCGCTGCTCAGGCTGTACTCGCCTCAGGAGGGGAACGAGCTGCAGCGCCTGATTGAGTCACTCCACTGCTGCGAGAACTGTGCTCCTGGACCAATCTTCAACATTGGCTTTCGATTTTGTCCTTTCTGCACCCCCTGCTGCCCCCCTGCTCCCCCTGCACCCCCTGCTGCCCCTCCTGCACCCTCTGCACCCCCTGCTGCCCCTCCTGCACCCCGTGCACCCCCTGCTGTCCCTGCTGCCCCTCCTGCACCCCCTGCTGCCAGGCAGGCTGTACTCGCCTCCGGAGTGGGAAGAGCTGCAGCGCCTGTTTGTGTCACTCGCTGCACAGTCACGCAGCAACGGCCAACACATCATTGCCTCGGTGTTCCAGGTGCTGCTCCTGGCTTCTTCTTTTTTGGCGTTTTTAGAATTGGCTCGTCATAGCGTGTATGTTCCAGTTACTGTTTCTAGCATTACGGTTCCTAAGTGTGCCATTCCCTTCCGCCATCGATGCTATATTCTGCCGTCTATTTTCTGCGAGTTGCTTCATCATACACTGTGTCTGAGATTCCGTGCTTCTATGTCTTTGGTGTGGTGCTGTGTCTTTCCCCACTGTGTTTCAGGCCTACTATGGCATTCACGGCAGTCTAGGTGCTCGTCTCTTCGAGATTGCCACTCAGGGAAATAAGGACGGCCTTATGCGGTTCCAGGAATTTGCTGCACTCAAGGTGGGCTGCATGCCATAAAGCACCGGATATTTTGTTCCCCTGATGCTGACTGACTGGGTTCACCTGATGCGGTCTGGGTTCACCTGATGCGGTCTGGGTTCAACTGATGCGGTCTGGGTTCACCTGATGCCGTCTGGGTTCAACTGAAGCCGTCTGGACTCACTTGTTGCTGTCTGGGTTCCCCAAGGACTCTTGATGGCATTCGTGTCCTCTTTACAGTTGGATTTGTTCTCTGTTTCATGAAAGTTCTGTATCACTAGATGACATGGACATCTACTTTCTCCTGTGTTCTTCAATCCTTGCATTTCTTTTTCCAGGCTGTGTTTGACAAGGGGTCTCCAGAGGATATTGACCGCATGTGCTTTCAAGTCATGGATGTACTCAAGTCAGGGAAGGTCGACAGGTAGCTACCGGCTGGGATTGTACCTTGTGCCTTGTGGCGTGCGAATGGTCTGTTCATCCTTACTTTTCTTGTGAATCTGAGTCCCTTTGGTGCATATGCTATCAAGTGGGCGTACTCAAATATGGGAAGGCTGACTGGTAGCTAACTTACAGCTGGGATTGTGGCTTATGAGGGGGAAGTCTCTTATGTGCATCGCATTGCAAGGTTTGATGTTTGCATTAGGGCTGTCTATGTACGGGCTGGTCACTCTTGGCAATGGGTTCACCGTTCAACAACAGTTCTTGGCATTCTGCCTGCCTCTATGCCTCAATCCGAATGCAGGCGAGAGGTCGAAGAGGTGATTCGCAGTGCTCTCGCCACCATATTTGGCCCTCAACATTCCCCCCCAGTCGCGATCATCCAAGCCTTCGTCTCCTCTGCCTTTCCCACTGATCCTCGCTCTAGCCCAGGGACTTCCCTCGCTTCCTCCTCTCCTCGCCCCTCTGCTGCTGGGTATTCCGCTGCTCCTAGATCTCTGCCTCTCTCGGGCAGCACCCATCCCGCTGCATCTGCCGCATCAGCAGCACCTTCAGAGGGGCTTGTAGGAGTGGAGAAAATAGAGAGGAAAGAGGCAGGGAGGCCAGTGCAAGAAGGGGATGGTGGAAGAAGGGAGGAGAGAGTGGGGGATTGCCCAGCTGGGGAGAATGGTGGGAAAATTTCAAGGCATGATGACACTGTCACTGGTGGTGGGGCTAAAGACCCTAGCACCGCCGGTGCTGGTAGTGCTGATATCATCGATGCTGCAGAAGATGGCAGGGAGCTGTCCTACCAGGATGCCATTCGATGGTGGACCGTGGTTCCTGCAATCAAGAAGTTTCTCCGAAGCCTCCTCACTCCTCCAGATATCCGTGAGTCCCTCCAGAGTTAGAAGCTCGTTCTAGTTTCCCTGGCTGCCTGGCAGGCAGCGAGTTTTGCATCAGCTTGACATCTCGTCATGAGACAGTGGCGTGTCAGTCAGCCTGTTTCCAAACCTTCTGCTCTCTCCAAGCCGTCAAATCCCTTTACTGCTATCCCAGGTCCACCATTCCCATCGCTCTTTGCTCCAACTTACACTGCCAGTGGCGCTCTGAAGCGCCTCAGTGCGCAGTGCCAAGACTTCCCTGTCGTCAAAACTTCCCGCCTGTCTTCATATCTCCCTCCCTGCATCCCAGGCTCCCCATTGCCGTTGCTCATCGCTCCAGCTGTCGCCACCAGTGCTGTTTTGAAACCTTCCCCTTTCTTCAAGCCTTCCCTGTTGTCTGTCTCTCTCTCCCGCTGTTCGAGGTCCACCATTGCCGCTGCTCATCGCTTCCGCTGACACTACCGCATTGCTTTGAAGCGCGTCAGTGTAAAGTTCCAACACTTCCTGTCTTAAAACCTTCCCCTGCCTTCATATCTCTCTCCCGCTATTCCAGGCCCACCGTTGCCGTGCCTCGTCCCTCCACCTGTCACCGCCAGTGCCCGCCACATCAGCACAGAAGAGGGGGAGCAGCAGCAGGAGGAGAGGGGGGACACGTGGCTTCTCCAGAAGGAGCTGACGTGGCACATAGCTGGTGCACTACAGGACAAGGAGTGCCGGGAGTGGTGCTTGCTCTACAGCAGCAAACTGCACGGCCTTAGCTTCAACTCGTTCCTGGGGAAGGTGAGAGCTGGGGAAGGAAAGAGCATAAACTTGTGGTTGAGGTTATGACAGGGGTTTAGGTGTGCTGGGAGCGGTGCTTGCTGTACAGCAGCAAACTGGCATGGCCTTAGCTTCAAGTTGTCCCTGAGCAAGGTGAGTGAGAGCATCAAATCCTGTACAAGTTGCAGCGAAGGGCAAGTGTGGGAAGTGGGGCTTGTCATAACGAATCGTTTGCTTCTCTGCCATGTGAGTGCAGCATGCTCTTCAGCCGCCCCTCCTATAGTCACACACACATGCCTACTCTTATTCCCCCCAGGTGTCATCCAAATTGCACCCAACCGTCCAGGTGACTCGTGACTCTGCTGCCACCGTCTTCTCACCCTTTTGAGTCGAGTTCATCTCTGCTGGCGCCATCTTCACAGCCTTCGCTTCCAAGCTGTGGGAGCGAAGCAGTGCTTTCTCCCCTCCTCTCCCCCTCTCCCCCTCTCCCCTCTCCCCCGCTCCCCCTTCTGACTTCCCACAGGTGTCATCAGTACCAGTCAACCACCCTGTTAATTCATGACTCTTCTGGTGCCATCGTTGGTGCTTTTGCTTCCAAGCCATCGGGGCGAAGCTGCGCTTTCAGCTACCCTCCTTCCCCCCCCCTCTGTCGTCCAGGTGTCATCATTACCTCATCCCACCATCCAGGTCCTTGGTGACTTTGCTGGTGCTGTGTTTTGACCTTTTGCCTCCAAGCCATGGGAACGAAGCAGCGCTTTCAGCCCCCCTTCCCACCCCTTCTCCCCTTTCCCCCTTTTTTCCCCTTTTTCCCCCTCAACCCATTCCCCCCTCCCCCCAGGTGTCATCAGTACCACATCCCACCATCCTGGTCATTCGCGACTCTGCTGGTGCCGTCTTTGGAGCTTTTGCATCCAAGCCGTGGGAGGGAAGCAGTGCTTTTTACGGTGACATGCGTTCTTTTCTCTTCTCCTTCCTTCCGAAGGCTGCTGTCTGCAAAGCAGCCGGCACCAGCAACAACTTACAATGGGTAGGTGACTCTGACTCCTGTGGAAGCGCTGTTTGACCCACAACCGAAATTATATGAGTTCTCATGCAGACTTCGCCTTATCTAGAAGGCTAGAGCTCCTCTTTCTATGGTGACTTACGATCCTTCCACTCCTTTCCCAGCGCTGGCGTATTTAAGCGACCGGATGTCTGGAACCAGCAACCGCAACCATGTCTTGCACATGCATACATTAACGCCCTACTATCTGAGATCATTTCCGCGAGAACCATGATGTTCAAGGCAGCAAATTTCATTCTTCATTACACCTCAGCTTCTTCTATCCTACCCAACTTGCCCTCCCAATGGCAGTGTGCGTCGGGCTTTGCATCCGAATCCATCCCCAATGGTATCGGCCTGGGTGGCCAACCAGGCCATTTCGGCCTTTTCCTCTCATCTGATTTCGACTCTGGTCACTCGCGCCCCAGCACCACTTTCAACTCCCCCTCACTCTCTTCCTCACCAACTTTCAGTGTAGATGCAGTGGAGTGTTGGGCCGTGAACAGTGCATCCCTTTCCGATAGAATTTCTGCTGGTGAGGGGGGTTCAGGAATGCTTGGATCGTCAGGGGCTGGAGTAGGGAGCGGGAGATCGGATGGTTCTGACAGTGGGAGGGGCACGGTGCTTGATCGCTTTGGGAAGGAGCGTGCGATGTTGGGCATGATGGGAATCGCAAATGCTAGTGAAAACATTGGGAGAGACAAAGCGGATTGTGAATTATAGTTCTGAGTTGGGGTGCAAGGGCAAGTTTTTAGTGCATCAAATTGCTGTATCTACAGTTTTATAAAGTGTTTGATGTGTGTAACAAAGGACAATCTAGAATAGGGATTGAGATGTAAGAAAAGGAGGGATAAGAACTTTGGATCAGTATAAGGCAATCCCGGTCATTAAATACGGTTTTTATCGAACCAGCATAGCGGGCCTGCTTGGTCGGAGCAGTCAACGCAAGTCGAGAATGCGATCCACGTGGCGAAGGTAGTCGCCAAGGAATGAACCTGGCTTTCACGACTATCTGCGTCGAGCTGGCTTCGAACCGCGAACCATTGGTGGATTAGAGTCCAGCCGAGTGCTTCCTCGTCAAGCTGGGTAACCAGCTGTTTTCGTGAGAGTATGCTGAGGGGCTGATGGGTCAGTTTCTTCGAGAAATTCCTTCGCAAACCGGTAGAGGTGTTGACACGAGTGACTTGTGGGATTTCAGCGAAACTTTCTCTCCCATGGTGTAACTGAGCGACCCAGCGAAGACAGTGCATTGTTGGAGTCGCAGGCACCCACACCACTGCAGATTTGGGACTAAGCAACCCTCGTTCCCGCTGGAGCTTGCGAACTCCAGCGACAGTGTTGATTTGTTCTTGCGACGATGCTCTTCGCCAACCACCCCTGCGAACCAGCGGCATTCACCACCTCTCTCCCCCCCTCTTGTCCAACGCAACACAAGCAACACAATTCATGGCGCCCCCTGGCATAATCACCCCACCAGCAGCTCTACTTATATCCCTGAGAACGCCATAGTTTCAACGCCACACACCGACGACTTCAGTGAAACGTGTTCCTCAAACCCGCTCCGAGAGTAGATAGAACGTGCAATAGCTAGAGTAGCTGGGGTTATCTTCGACGAGCCTTTCGAAAACCAATATCTCCATTGGATTAGTGCTACCAGGGGACGACTCACGTCATGGCGTTACCGCGTTTCCTTCAGCTCTTATTCCTCTCCCTTATCCTCTCCACAATCCACTCTCCATGCGCCCTCGGGTTCTTTAATCGTGGCCGGATCCTCATTCCGCCGCCGCACCAGCAGCACGCGCGCTTTAGAGACCTCAAGATCGGCCGCTCGAAGCTCCCGCTGAGCCCGTTCGAGTCCCAGGCAAAAAACGCGACCGAATTTCAGCTGAACGTCGCGAATCACGCGAGGGTTTCGCCTGTGGATAAGGCGGCGCTGCGGGATGCTAAGAAGCGAATAGAATCCGAGGCGCGCACGAAACGCACCTTCGGAAGCTTCCTCCATCGCATGTCCATCCGCGGCGCGGACCCCGAGAAGGAGTATAAACGCTTCTCGAGCCGCGTAGAGACCATGAAGGAGAACGACTACCAGATTTACTACTATGGCGGCGCGGTGCTGACGCAGCCGATTAATCTCTACATCATCTACTACGGCACGTGGTACCAGTCGGAAGTTAACATCGTGGAGACTTTCATAAGATCCGTCTCCTCAACCTCGTACTCCTCGGTGTGTGCATCTAAACTCCTTCGTTAGCACGCCTCTGCTGCATTTCCTACTCGTCCCAAATTTGCAAAACAGGCCCCTCCCCGGCACGTGGTACCAGTCGGAAGTCAGCCGCGTCGTGGATTTTTTCACCTGGAAAATTTCAAGTCTACTTCGTCGACCTCGCACTCGTCGGTGTGTGCGAGAAGAACCTTTCTCTCTCCTCATTTCTGGCCTAAATTCCTCGACGAGGCGGAAACAGTTTTATTGTAACCCGACACGCGTTTTTCTGCCGCTGGACAGCCCCACTCGAAACCCTAATCGTTTAGAGTTTGGCCAGAGCCCCCGCAAGCCCCAGCTTCCCCTTCTCGCCCGCCCCCAGCGTTCGCCAGAGTGACTCCCGCCTGTACCTTCTCGCCGCTCTCCTGTCGCCTCACTGCCGCCCGCCTAGTTTCCTGCAGTGCCGCTGCATTCAGGATTGCGCGACAGGGTACCACCACGGTGCGCGGATGGTGGAACGTGATTTTATTGGGGCTTCATCTCGCCTGAATTCTCGTTGCCGTGCCCTTCCCCTAACCCTTCCCCTTCCCCAACCCCTCCCTCCTCTTCTTCTTTTGCCCTTAGGATTACGCCACGGTGCGGGGATGGAGGAAGATGATAGCATCGCGGCTTGGTCGCACCTCAATTCTCATCCCCACGCCCTTCTTTCCCCTTTTCCTCTTCCCCCCTCCCTCATCTTCTTTTGCCCTTAGGATTACGCCACGGTGCGGGGATGGTGGAAGATGATAGCATCGCGCTACTATCAGATATCTCAGGGAAAGTACTCCTACATCACTCCCAAGGTAATCCTAAAGGCTTGAAATAAGTCTATTCGACTCAAGAATATACTCCTGCATCACTCCCCGGGTAAACCTAGCGGTTTCTTTCATTTAACGTTCCCTGTGTATTGGGTGCTGTACATACTAGCATTCTATTGAGGTATCTGGTTCATTCCGTTCACTACGGTCCATTCCATCGCTCTTCGCCTCCCTTCATTGCTCTTCACCGCTCTGGGTTGCCCTCGAATATTGCAGATAACGCTGGCAGGGACAGCATATGACAAGTACTCCAGCTCGAGCATCGTTGGAGGTAAGCTTACAATCTGCATTTGCATGCGATCATATCTGGAGCAGCAAAATGTTTCCCTTACGTTCTTTCTTCCCACTTCATTCATCCCCCTTTCTAGATTCCCCAACCTTATTCCACATTTCCCCGAATATCCAATCCTCAAACCCGTTACAACTAGTGCAGCTATTGAGAAGCAGATCATGACAACCAAGCGCTTCCCCTTGGATCCGAACGGGATCTACATGGTGCTCTCCAGTGCCGATGTTACGGTTACCATTGGCGGGGACGCCTTCTGCGACAAGTACTGTGGACTCCGGACTGCGTTCACTGGGATAAAGAACGGTGTCAGGAGGCTGTACCAGTATATTCACGTTGGCAACCCTATTCGGCAGTGCCCGGACTCTTCCTGCGTTCTCGGACAGAGCGAATACTATTAGTAAGTGTCCTGTAAATCTCCTGTTGTCGCACAGTTTAATCTCCAGATGGTTCCATTCCATCACTTCTTCACCTGCTCCTCTCTTTCGCTTACTTCGCTAGTGGGTGTTAAGCTTGAGCCTTCATTCTCACCCTTGGTTTTCCCACCCTCCCTGCATTGCTTTTCTGGCCAGCAAAACGCCAAATGGGAACTGGGGTGTGGACAGCATGATAGCAACAATCGGCCACGAGTTGGCAGAAGCAGCCACGGAGCCTGACTTGGAGAAAGGTTGGCATGACGAGACGGGGATGGAGGTCGGAGACAAGTGCTCTGCTGACCTTAGTGCCAAAGTTTGGGTGGCAAATAAGGACACAAAGAACAGCTACATATTTAATACAGTCGGGTCGAATGGCGTGAGGTTCTTGCAGGAGGCAATCTGGAACTACTCACCCAAGAGTTGTGTTGTGCAGTGAAGGATAGGAGGGATTAGTGCAGGGCTGTGCCTCCGGCATCTGTATTTGTAGTATTTGTATGCCGGGAATAATGCTATTATTCTGGGTTTCTGCTTGCATCGAGTTCTGAGCGTGAGGGTTTCGAAAGGTTTACACAACTGAAAGAAACAAAAAGCAGTCTTGCAGGCAGCTGTTCTCAGACATGCTCGGCGAGGTGTGCCATTCATTACACTCAGCATGGCATTGAGGCACCCTGGAAGGATGCGATGCGAGAGGCAGTAGGGGACAGGAACACAGTGTCTTTGGAAAAGGTACCGTCCATTCCAATCAGCAAATGACCAATGATCAGAGTTTGCTGAGAAATGCGTCTGAGTGCTGCTCTAGAATTGTGTCCGATACATGTCTAACAACTCCAGCGCCTTCAAAATGCAACCACTCCATTTTCACCTGCGAAGAAATAGAGCAGATGAGAACTCTCTGGCAAATGGAGCAGCAGAAAAAGATTATCTGCATTGCCAAGGACTTACAAGGATGTTGTTGTGGGCAGAGAATGGCCAGAAGGCCTCCTCAAAGTTCACGTCCACCTTCCTCCACGACACCCGTTGCAGACCAGCAATCATATACTCTGCATGGAGGGAATAACTAAGTTGCTGGGGTATCAACTGCGGGCACAAACCTTGCAGCCAACATACTCCTTGACAGTATTCTTACCTTGATAAAGCTCGTGATCCTTAGAAGGGTTAGTTGTGAAAGATCTGGGATCAGGCAAATCAGTGCCCTCAGCAGCAAGACAATTTTGGACAAGCACGATGTGGCGATAAAGCGGGCTAATCGATGTCTTCGGAAGCTGCAATAAGTACACAAACGAGCTTGTCAGGGTACTCAACTACCAAATTTCCACTACCTGCCAAAAGATGGAACCACTAAGCCATACAGACCACGGGAAGCTCAGCTGCTCTGCGGATAGACGCGGTTTGCCAGCCAACCATGCGGTCGTAGCCAGCATTTGCATAGCACAGTCTCAACCTGAATGCTTTGAGTGCTGATCTGAAAGAACACATGGAGTGCAACTCAGCAGTTTCAAACTCGTGTTGAATGACTCATTTGCACAAGCAAGATGGGAATATACACTCACAGGAATGGTTTGCCTTTGCTGTCAGCGGCCATTTCAACGAGAATAGGAAGCTTTGTTTCCGACAATGAGCCATCAGAAAGGAAGAGCTGGCTTCCTGTTTGCCCGGTGACGAGCGGAGCTACAGACGGAGCGAGCTTCTCCAAAAATTGCACACCCAACAGAAACGGAAGCTGCAGGGGGGATCATGAGGGGTGGTAATAAGCCTGATTTTTTCCCAACAGCAAGCCTTGATTCATCAAAAGAGCACGACAGATGGAGCTTACCTGACCCTTTCCAAAAGCTCCCAAGTGTGGGGTAGCCAACGTGATAAAACATACTGGCTCCAAACCGGCAATCAACCCAGGTCGTTGATCAGGGTCACCAACGGTAACCCCCTCGCTGCACAGTTGCCGCCATACGGATTGTAAATCCAGGGGAGACGCGGAAATCCGTCCTCGATGAAAGGAATTTACTAAAGGAACTGAATTACTCACCTGTTATGTGGCTCGTGGAGCAAGGCAATCGCGTAGCGAGAAAATAGGCCTCCTAAAGAATGAGCCACAAATGTTATTCTTTGTAGACTGGGATTCTTCTTTACGAGAGTCCTGACCTGTATATGGATCATATGGATTCTACTTTAAGATGTTAAACAGACATCGCATATGCTTTGCTGACATTAAAAGGGATTGCATTTGCCCACCTCATTGGCTAGACGTTCTCCGGCCGTTACGACGCCTTGGAAGGTGAGAAGAAACTCGTTAGACGAGCTTGCTGCGAATTCACAGGCCCAACGAGGTTAGGCTACCACTTATTTAGCAATAATGAGCCCTGCTGATCTCTAACAGCCAAGACTGTGACTTACGGACCATAAATGAGAAATCGACGTCCCAGTTTCTTTTTCAGCTCCCCTCGAAGGTAATCCCAGTCACGTACTCTGAAAGGCCATTCCACAAACGATCATTCGGGCTTGAAAAACAACTTCCTAGTCCACCGACGAGACCGAACCCGCTGTGAGGTAGCAGGCTTAACGGCGAGTCGAGAACTTACGTTGACACGATGCCGTGAACAAGTATTACTGCATGAACTGGATCCTCGTCACTGCGTTTTGACACCGTGCGGCTTGCTGACTGTTTCGAAAACCGAGAACTTTTTGACGAGCTGGTGGAGGCTTCTTCAACTACTTCCATGCCTCCTGTCTCTTGCCGTTCAGCTATCACCTGCTTCCAGTCTACGGAATATAACGAGCCACTAGTCTGCATGCGCTGGGGTTTTGCCGTGCATCTTACTAAGCTTAGCTGTGCTGCTGAAGTCAAACGAGGCAGCGACCACCCCAATTTCGACATTCTGCAAGTCCCCTGACAAAGCCCTTTCGGCTCGCACTCCGCTATCCCGAAACCATCGCGACACTCTCAAAGGCAATCGAACGACGCCGAGCTGAATTGAACTGAGCCCCCTCGGCGCGGAGTGCAAGAGCCGCAGCCTAGCGTCGGTGCTACTACGTAGTGTTCAAGAGAGGGAGCTTCACATTTCCCTCCACCGAGATTGCCGCAGGCCTGTTGTTGGCCCATGTCTCAGTTTGTGCAGGCGAGAGCGTGTGATGGGCTGGGGGTGGGTGGGGGAGAACTCATGAGTCATGATCAATCCAAGCTGACGTGGAAGTGCTGGCTTTCAGGGGATTTGATGATGAGACGATAGAGGGCTCACAACGGGAGCTTCGTTACAGAGTCATTACACGCCAGACCAACCTACACTCTTTTTCAAAAACGACACGTTATCCTAACTTTATGAGGACTCATGCTAAAATGCTTTCACAATATTTATTAACAAGATTTACACTTACACAAACACATCCACCGAGGCCAGGGCAACTAGCTTGGCGGGAAAAAATTGCCACGATGAAACGGAGGCTGCACGTCAAGCATCGCATTGCTCATACAAAGCTTGGCCAAGTTTTCCCGCCGTTGTTCAAGGCTTTTAATGTATTGAATGGCCATGCTGATTAAGGTACACGTGTCCATCTTGGTGAACGACGCCCGCCTCTGCTGGCAAAACGTAGAGGGAATGGCGTCTTCAAGCTTGCTGAACGCAGCCCTGAAAAAAGGAAACAAAATCGAAGAGGCTTAGTAGTTTATTCAAGCGATTAATTTCTAACAAACCGAGCCATACGAAGGCTGTTCATATGACGAGAAACTGCAGGCTTACAGGATGCGGTGTCGGCGATTCTTCTCGCGCATACTTCTCGGTTGGATATCGCCCTTGCTAAGATTCCCGCTCCATTGAGATCCGCGGTTAGTAGGCGCAGCAGATGCAAGCTGATCTGGACACCGCGCCATGGGAGCGGCTGTGTCACAGCATTCCGCTCGCACGGGCCGCTGGGCAGCCAAATCGTTACTCCGCGAGGAAAGGGCTTCCTTTTTCACTTGCGGGAAATCGTATGCGATATCTGCAGCGCCGCGCGACGGCAGAAGAGCTTGGCCTGCCGGAAAAGAATGCCCCGCTGCGATAAGCGCGTCGTTGAGCATGTGCTGAATAATAACCGCATTGTCTATTCCGGCGGAACCGTTGGACTTCTTCTTTCCGGCGCGGCTCTCGATGATTTCCTCCGAATGCCGCTTCTTTCCAACCCTGGCTAGTTCTTCGTCGCTCGAATCGCCGCGCCGCGGTTTAGCGGCTACAGAAACTTCCGTGGACGCTGACATCGCGCTGCGAGTCGACGTTTCGAGGCTCTGGTGACAATTAGGAGCGTCTGCTTGAAAGAAGTTACTCGCGGGTTGCCAGCAGAAGTTGTCGTACCAAGGCTCGAAGCCGACGAGTTCTGGGAGCAAGCTTGCAAGTGCTTGTGACATCGCGTTGGAAACGGGTCTCTGTGGACCTGAGGGCTGGATAAACTGATACAGGACAAGTAGTAGGGCTACTGCCACAATACGGTATTGCAGGGCTGATCGTGAGTGTGGAGTGGATGGGTGGGATGGGAAGCATTTAGTAGTGGAGGGAGCGGGGGAGGAAGCAGGTGTGGGGAAGAGAGAGGGATGCAGTTGTGAGACACTTGCAGCGGGGAGTGAGGCGAAGATCAGCGACGATCGACGACGATGCGAAACAGAATCTGCGCGCGCCTCCTATGACCTGGGGGGCGCGCGCGAGACTCGTAGCCTCCGCGAATCCACTTCCCGTGTGACTTTCTCCCCCAACCCCAAGCTCAACGCTCCATGAAGCGCGGCTGACAGCAGCAAGCATCTCCCCGGCTTCTGTGCGGGGCAAGCTCGGGTTAGGGGAAAGACTGGGGCCAGATGCATCTGGACAGGATCCAGGGGGGGAGGGGGATTGGAGGTGATCTCTTGTCGCTTTTCTTTGATTCAAACAAAAGCTGATCGACTTGCAGCAAAACTGTCGTCACGTGTTTGAAAGGGCCAACGAGATTTTTGACAGCGCAGAGTCAGCAAGTCTCTGATTCGGCAAGAATACGTGGGATGCCGAGGTGTGGTTGGATTGGATTGGGGCTCACTCGTCGTCTATAGGACGAAGCGGACGCAATCTAACATCAGCGCTGCTGACATGTCCGATGGGGAAACAAATGGCAGGAATTTGTCGGTGATTGTGTCCGTATCTGAAAGAATCACGTGAATGTTATAAGATTCACATGGGACGAATCGTCGTTACAAGACATCGAAGGGCCAAACTGGAATTCAATACCCAGGATTTCAAATGGCGAAGATTAATAACCCGCATGGTACATCTATATTTGAATATCTGACTATAAAGCAAGTACAACACAAACACATCACCCATCCCAAACTACCACAAGAAACAGACATACGTTAGCACCTGCTGGGCTGAGTATAGCCCAAGGATCTTTTCAGAAGGCTATGCCCTTGTAACAGAGTGCTTGATAGCAAAGCGGAAATCTTGAGTTTGAACCCTTGTATCGGTATGTGAGAACAAGCGATTGATTATAGCAAAAGGATATAAGCTTAATAGAACAATACAAGAGAATATGAAGAGTCTAAATGTTTGTGCACTTCAAGGGGTGCATTCCCTTGTATCTGGACGGTTATTTTTCCTTGCTGTCGCGCTGATTCTTGACTCTTCCGATTCTGACTGTTGGGTTGCACGATCAACGGTCTGCGTCCGTTGCCCTTTTGTAACCTCTGCGGGTGTCGTCAACCTGCGTCAACTGTCGGTAATACTGTAGCAGTGTTGACTCGATGGTCCCTGTTGCTACGGTCTTCGCGTATTCGTACACTCACGCAAGAGTCCGAAAATGTCTTAAGTTTTATATCATTTCCAACACCCTCCATTTCTAGAGTGTAGATGTGGTCAAGGTTGCCGACGTGTTGCAGTCCAGTCAGCAGCATGCAGTACTTGGACTTCACTTCATCAGCTTCTTGGTCAACTAGTCGGCTGCCATTTCAGTGGTGGGATAGTAAACCAATTGGAGGTGACCCTCCTCGATCTCGTCCTGCACGAAGAAGTAACGAAGCGAGATGTGCTTCGTCCTTATCGCGAATTCGTTTTTGTTGGCGATTCTAATTGCTGATTGGTTGTCGCAAAAGAGAGAGAAGCTCGGTAACTCAGCAATCTTCGCTTCTTCAAGCGGCTCGCGTAGGTACAGTCATTCCTTTGAGGCTGTGCGATATATTCGGCTTCAGCAGATGAGAGAGCGATTAGTTCTTGCTTTCCCGGGTGCTAGGAGATAGTGCCGATAGTTTCTAGATTGTAGATGTAGCGGTGCATGAGCGTCGGTTGTCCTTATTGCTGGCGTGATCAGCGTCGACGTAGCCGATAAGTTCGGTTTTGGTAGCAGCTTTCTTATGGTAGGTCATGCCGATCGTCGGGGTCGAGAAGAAGTAGTGGAGCACGCGATCGAGTTCCCCCCGTTCATATCGCTTAAGGTAGGTAGCGAGCTAGCTAGCCGCGTAGGAGAGATCAGGACGACAGGTAACGGCGGCGAAGAGCAGACATCCTAGTTTCTGCTGATATTCCTGGATCCCGGCTGGTGCGAGTAGCGAGACGGTCGACGCGGGAACTGGCAGCGCATAGGTGTACAGAGTAGCGAGAAGTAGTCGGGACAGGTCAAACCTCCGAGCGATGGACTCGGTGCACTTCGAAGCTGTGAGGTGGATGATGTCGGGGCCGTCAGTGAGGTTGAGGCCGAGGTACTGCGTTACGGTCGGCGACACGGTTATCGTTAGCTCGAGTTCTAGCTCCCCTTCGAACCAGACGGTGATTGAACTAGCGGAGCCGTCGTAGAGCAAATCATTTATGTAGGCGATCAGCAGGACGTAGTCGCCGATGTGTGACAACCTGTACATGCCTTGATCGTGAGATAGTTGGGCAAAGCCCTGCTATTTAGGATCCAGTGCAGGTACTGCTGCCATAGGCATGGGGCCTGCTTGATTCTGTAGATGGATTTGACCAGGTTGCAGACTAGCGTTGGGTCGTCGACGTAGGCGTGGGGCTGCTCGACGAAGATGTCAGCATCAACAGGGGCGTAGAGGAACGCGCTGACGACGTCGATTTGTCGCAAAGGAAGGCGACGGGCGGCGGCGACAGCGAGTAGAATGCGAAGGGAAGTGTGGCGAGTGACCAGAGCGAAGGTCTCGGTGTAGTCATTACCGTACTGCTGGTCGAATCCGCAAACCACCCATCGTGCCTTGAATCGTTTCATGGTTCCATCTGCTTTGGTCTTCACTTGGAAAACCCACTTTCCGGAGAGAATGGTCTTCCCCTTGGTATGAGAAATCGGTATCAGCTTCCAAGTGTTTCGCTCGTACAGTGCCAATAATTCTCGATCCATTGCCTCCTTCCATTTTTCTCTGTGTGCTCCTTGAAGTGCGCGCTTGACAGTTGTCGGCTCCTCGACTGGCGGCGGTGAGGACGGATGATGCACGGCTGCTACGAGTCTGACGATTTGCAGGCCAGTTTTGGTGTAGCATGGGAGTGTTGGATCCTCGGGATAGTGTGCCTTGTCTCCCGCTTAAGGATCAGGCACGAAACCTGATCCTATGCGTTCTAATACGTTGGTGTTGCCACTGTTGGATGTTACGTAACCAGCATCGACGAAGTGGTAGTAGGCTTCAGCGTTCGCGCTTTCGCGAGGATTTTCTTCGTCCATCTGCATGCCGATGGAGCAGTAAGGACGTGGTCCTGTAGTTGCTGATGCGTCCGGGACGTTCTATTCCTCCTGCAGCTGCTGACGCGTGCGCCAGTGAAACCATCGGATGGATTTTAATTGGCTGCGATGTTCTCCAGGTAACGGTGGAGCGTGAGGTTCTCGTAGAAAATCACATCACGCGCTGGTACTGTTTCCTTATTTTCAACGTGTAAAAATTTTCAAGCCTCGTAGTGTTTTTTTACACCCAGGTGTAGGCCCCATCTTACCCGCTGCGAAAATTGTCCAACTCGTGCAGTGTGCAGACGATACTGTACCATGCAGCCGAACACTCGTAACAGTTTTGTGCTGCCTTGCTTCCCTGTCCACAGCAGATGCGGTGATGCATTGTTTGGCAGGGAGCTTGATGATAGGAGAATCTGCAGCATGACGGCGTGATTCATCGCCTCCAGCCACTGTGAGTTGGGCTGACGCATATCAGTCAGCAGCTTCCTTATGGTGTTCAGGAGGGTTCTGTTCATCCTTTCTGATATGCCATTCTATTGGTGAGTGTAGGGGAGGGTGACGAGCCTCTTGATTCCTCTCTCAGCGAGGTAGTCCTTGAATCACTGTGACTGGTATTCCATCGCCCTGAATGGCTGAAAAAATTTCAGCTTCGTGTCTCCCTCCCGTTCTGCTAAGCAAGCCATGCGACGAAGGCAGAGAAGGCGAGGTCACATGACGGTATGTTAAAATGCCAGGTGTACCGTGTCGCGGCATTGGCGAAGGGGATAATGTAGTTGAGGTCGGTCCGCCCGAGTTATCGCGGGATATACAACATGTCGCTATAAATTTTTTCGGAGTAGAGAGTACTATGGTGCGCTCGGGTTGTGATGCGATGGGAAAGGTTGTCGAGGAAGATCTACTTTCGGGCAGACAAAGCAGGTGTGTCAGGGCCGTCTGAGTTCACGGCCATCGAGAAGGAGAAGAGCATCCTTATTTAGGACGTTCATACGAATTGTGACGAATAGTCTTAAATTTTCGGGATGTCCTAACCGTTGATGCCAAATCTCTTCACTCGCCCTGTGTCCCACAGATCGGCAGTACAGGTCCGAGTTGGCATAGAAGACAGAGACAGTCGCGGTGCTTCGGTGCTGCTCGCGAGGATGCACCTTCAACTGCTCGGCATCAGTTCGTGGTGGCTCGTCAACGGGTTCAGTTTCAAGCGGAGCTTCTTCGACGGGTGGCGCCGACAGAAAGTTGTCTTGTCGGTGCTTGTGGTTCTGCTGCGTGCTCTGTCTCGTGTTTTTTTTCTTCCCACGTCACCGCTAATGCATATGTGCTTTCTGCTTCAAAAATGGTGTTGCATTACCAAAAACCGTCGCGGTCGAACGCGGGGTCAAGATCCGGCGGGTGCGTCAAGGGCGCAAAGGAGACGAATCCATCGCTGTCGGCAGTTCTGCGGTCGGGAACAAAGTCCAATTTGAAGACCCCGTGTTTCTAGACGGCTCTGCTGATGAAGAGACCGCCCTTCCAGTGATAGAGACGGAACTCTTGATCAAAGCTGTCACACTCCAGGTAAATACCCTTCGACTTGAGCTGGCTGACACTTAGTAGGTTGTAGCCGAGATTGTCGACGACGAGTACTCGTGACATATGGAGTACTACATTTCTCTTGCTGGATTATAACTGAGCGATGGCTTCCTTTTGTGTGCGCAGTTTCTGGTTGTTGGCAACAGTGATGGCAACTTTTCAGCTAAGAGTCTTCTCTCGCTGGACGAAGTGTGTTGAAGAACAATATGTTGACCACAACAACTGTCAAGAAACCACGAGTCACGGCCGGATGGTTCGTCGCGAGCGAT